GCACATGCACATGCACATGCAGATGCACTCACATACATTCGCAAGCCCATCTTCTACTTTTTCTACCTCTCCTTCTGGACTGGTGAGTGTGCTTACTCTAGGCACAAGCTCGTGCACATGCACATGTACGCACGCAGTCATGCACACACATGCATGCAAACCCATGCTCTACTTCTTCTACCCCTCATTCTGGACTGGCGAGTGTGCCTACTCTCTTGGCACACACACACACGCACCCTATACCCGCGCACAGACACATACATGCATGCAAGCCCGTGATGGAGGAGGAAGAGCACAAGCCTCACTCACTCACTCACTCACTCATTCACTCACCCACTCACTCACTCACCCCTTGCTCCCTCTCCCTCTGCCTAAAAAATGACACGCTTTCCTCCTCCACCCCCTCTCATTAACCCCCCTCCCCCTCCTCTTCTTCCCCACCAGGCAAGGCGTCATTCGCCAAGTACAACAACGGTGGCAGTGGCAAGGCCGACCCGGGGCTGGAGCGGGTGGGGGAGGAGGATGAGGACGTGCGGGAGGAGGAGGAGCTGGTGAAGGGGCAGGCGGAGCGAGGCGAGGTGGATGCTGACATGGCGGTGTCTGTGCGGGGATTGGTGAAGACCTTCCCGAAAAAGTGGAGGATGAAGGGGCTCAAGTGCAAAGTGATGCCTCCCTTCCATGCCATCAAGGTCAGTGGATGATTGGGTGTGTCGGGTAGCACAGAGGGAAGTTCAACGTGAATTGACTTTCGAGTCGACTAGTCAAAATGATGCCTCCCTTCCATGCCATCAAGGTGGGTGGATGATCGGGTGTGTTGGGTAGCGAAGTAGCTTCTGAGGCGCCTCAAAAGGTTTTTGAGTCGACTCGAAAAAGTGGAGGATGAATGGGCTCAAGTGCAAAGTGATGCCTCCCTTCCATGCCGTCAAGGTGGGTGGATGATCGGGTATATTGCGTAGCTAAGTAGCTTTGGGGATTTCTTATAGAATCTAATGTGATGGAGAAGCCATTTTGAGGCACTTGAGAAACATCGTTTTCCCCCCTCTCCACTGCACTTCCCACATTCCCTCTATTTCTCATCCAGGGCACGTGGTTCAACGTGGAAAAGGACAAGCTCTTCTGCCTGCTGGGGCCCAACGGGGCGGGCAAGAGCACCACCATCCACTGCCTCACCGGCATCCTCCCCACCACCGCTGGCGACGGTACGTGTCTGCTCTCTTCTCTCCTTATGGTGTCTCACCTGCTTGTTACTCAACTCACAAGAGCACCACCATCCACCGCCTCACAGACATCCTTCCCAACACTGTTGGCGACGGTACGTGTCTGCTCTCTTCTCCTCCTTATGGACAATGGATTGGATTCCAATCCGTGTTAGTCGACTCACAAGAGCACCACCATCCACTGCCTCACAGACATCCTCCCCATATCCTCCCACACCCACATCCCCCCTCTCCAGGCCTTAAAAACTTGTACTCGATCCGCGATCCAGGCAGCATGGCGGCCATCCGAGCCATCATGGGCGTGTGTCCGCAGTTTGACATCCTCTGGAGCTGCGATCTCCCTCTAACCACTAACCTCTCCCACCGCTCTTCTCCCTCTTCCCTTCACCCCCCCCTCCAGGTCTCAGATACGGGCACTCTATCCGCGATCCAGGCAGCATGGCGGCCATCTGCGCCATCATGGGCGTGTGTCCACAGTTTGACCCTCCTTCCCCTTCCGCTTAACGCTTCCCTCCCCACCTGCTCTCTCATTCCCCCCTCTCCCCCCCTCCAGGTCTGATATACGGGCACTCCATCAGGGATCCAGGCAGCATGGCGGCCATCCGAGCCATCATGGGCGTGTGTCCGCAGTTTGACATCCTCTGGGACCGCCTCACCAGCCAGGAGCACCTCTACCTATTCGCACGCATCAAGGGCCTCCTGCCCTCCCAAATCCCCAAGGAATGCTCCATGCTCCTGGAAGAAGTCAAGCTCACAAACGTCACTCGCAGCCGCACGAGCGGGTACAGCGGGGGCATGAAACGCCGGCTTTCCGTCGCCATTGCCCTCATCGGCGACCCGAAGATCGTCTTCCTCGACGAGCCGACCACCGGAATGGACCCGGTGTCGCGCCGGCACGTGTGGGATATCATCGAGCGGGCCAAGCGCGGGCGGGCGATCGTGCTGACGACGCATTCGATGGAGGAGGCGGATATTCTCGGGGATAGAATCGCGATCATGGCTAAGGGACGGATGCGGTGCATCGGGACGTCGATTCACCTCAAGAACCGGTTCGGGGCGGGGTTTGTGGTGACTGTGGGCGTGAGGCGGCCCGCGAGGGTGGTAAACAGTGCTGCTGCTGGTGGTGGTGAGAATTCGGCGGCTGAGACGTCGAACGGGTCGTCGCCGCTGTCGTCCTCTGCTGTTTCACCTGACGGAACACCTGGGGACAACGTGGAGGCGGTGAAGGGGTTCTTTTACGACCGCCTGGGAGTGCAGGCGGAGGAGGAGTCGCAGGGGTACATCACGTTCCTGGTGCCACGCAGCAAGGAGACCATGCTCACGGTGAGACTCCCTTCTATGCTTGCCATGGTTAGAAACCCTCTAGGCTCTAGCCCCCTTCCCCCTGTCGCTGGAAACTGTCCTCTACCGGTTTGATCGCCTGGGAGTGCAAGCGGAGGAGGAGTCGCAGGGGTACATTACGTTCCTGGTGCCGCGCAGCAAGGAGACCATGCTCACGGTGAGACTCCCTTTCGAACCCCCTTCCCACACATGTTTTTCCGCGAGCTCAAGGGAAAGGGCATTCCAGAGAACTGTCAGTTTTGTCACTGGAGGAGGTGTTTCTCACCATGCGTCCATCCGCCCTCCGCCCCCCTCTCCCCTCAACAGACCTTTTTCCGTGAGCTGAAGCAGAAGAAGAGGGAGTTGGGCGTGATAGAGACGCACCTGTCGCGGTCGACGCTAGACCAGGTTCTCACTGTGCCCTATCCGCCCTCATTCCTATCCACCCCCTTCCCCAATGCAGACATTTTTCCGCGAGTTGAAGCAGAAGAAGAGGGAACTCGGCGTCACAGAGACACACCTATCGCTGTCCACACTGGAGGAGGTGTTTCTCACCATCGCCCGCAAGGCTGAGCTTGAGACGGCACAGGTGGAGGAGCGATTTGAGGCCATCACCCTTGTGGATGGTCGCACCCTTCAGGTGTGTATGGGGGATGGTCAGAAGTGGTCTGAAGAGTGGTCTGAAGTGGTCTGAAGTGGTTCGGAGCGGCTTAGAGCCATTAGTGGGAGGAGGTGTTTCTCACCATCGCCCGCAAGGCCGAGTTCGAGACAGCGCAAGTGGAGGAGCGGTTTGAAGCCATCACCCTCGCAGACCGCACTCTTCAGGTGTGTATTTGCGGGTTTTCAGTGGGGGTGGGGTGGTTGCCTGGTCGTCAATACTTGTGGATGGCCGCACCCTTGAGATGTGTATGCGGTGTGGTCTGAAGCGGTCTGAAGTGGTCTGAAGTGGTCTGACAGGGTTAGGAGTGGCTTAAAGCCATCAGTAGTAGGAAGTGTTTCTCACCATTGTCCGCAAGGCTGAGCTTGAAATGGCGCAAGCGGCGGAGGTTGGTAGCAGTGTGAAATGGTCAGGAGCGGTTGAGGCTTTTAGCATCACCTATGTTGACTCGCCAAAATAGCCAGGTGTTTGTCAGATTGTGATAGGCTAATGCTGATCCGTCCCCTGTGGTCTTCTATCATCCATGTGGCAGGTTCCGATTGGTGCAGAGTGCGTGGCCATCCCTCCGTCAGCCTCGGCCAATGAGGAGGATGCTGACGTGGACGCGGGGCAATCACAGCCACTGATGGTGGTGGATATTACATGGCACCAGGACGAAGCTGGGTGTCTGCGCATTGCCTCATACTCCGAACCTAGACAGGCAGACTCGGGGGAGCTGAATGTGACCAAGGGCTTTTGAAAGTCCGCCCCTTGAATGCTTGCTCTGCACATCCCCTCGATAGTCCGAATCTAGACAGGCTGACTCAGAGCTGAATGTGAGCAAGGGCTTTTGACAGTTTGCCCTTGGGGTATCTCTGCGCGTTGCCTACTCTGAACCTAGATAGGCCGCGTTGGGGTACCGGCAACTGAGTGAGTACAGGCCAAAATAGAACTCTGAACCTAGACGGGGCTTTTGAATGCAAAGCCCCATACCATTGGGTGTATGTTACACTTCCCAGTGAGTGTATAAACTCTTATTGTGATTGTTTTTGTGGCACCTCAAGAAGAATCGCTTCACTAACTAGTAGGTGTATACATTTCAAAGAGCAAGCTTGTCTCGCATTGCCTCGTACTGTAAACATGGGCACTAGCACCTAGTGGATTCCTCACATGGCAGATATTCGTGGGTCCCTAATGGTTTGAGCATGCACACACATGGTCCCATAGAGTGGCGCCATGCAACATATGCACAGACACACATGCAAGCTCACATGCACGGGCACACATGCACACACATGCACACACATGCACACACATGCACACACATGCACACACGCATGCACGGACACACATGCATGCATACACATGCACAGACACACACACATATGCAGAGACACATCCACGGACACACATGCAAACACATTCACACACATGCACAGACACACCAAAGGGCAGAGAGAGGTTAGCAAGGAGACAAAGAAAAGCCAGTCAACACCTCACAGAGCACCTGACAGAACACCTGACGGAACACCTGACGGAACACCAGGTACCCCACAGGGAGGGCTGCTTGTACTTTTTACAATCCTCAGAAATGACTCGGATATCCTTAGATATCAGGGTACCCTGATATACCCTGATATCCCTTAGAGGTCAGGTATCAGGGTCAGGTACCTCTAAGGGAGTGTTTTGAGACGTCTCAAAACACTTCTTCAATCACGTGGATACCCTGATATCCCCTGATATCCCCTGATATACCCTGATATCCCCTGATATACCCTGATATACCCTGATATCCCTTAGAGGTCAGATATCAGGGTCAGGTACCTCTAAGGGAGGGCCACTAGAGTTACACACCTGACGGGGAAGCGGAGGTGAAAGCAGGAAGAAAGTTGGATGGGCGTGTGTGTGGCGACAAAGGCAATGCCCCCTGCGCCCCTGTGTTCTTCAATCATTCCCTCTAGCAGCTCAACCCCAGCCAGGTCCAGCCCCACAGATGGCTCGTCTAATAGCCACAATGAGCGGGGGATGGCCAAGAGCCGGGCCAGCTGCAGGCGCTTGCGCTGCTTGGCAAGGGGGAAAGAGCAGTGGGGAAGAGCAGGGACGAGGGGGGGTATGGGAGGTTGAGTATCATTCCCTCTAGCAGCTCAGTGGAAGCAGCTGGATAGTTGGATGGGCGTGTGTGTGGCGACAAAGGCAATGCCCCCTGCACCCCTGTGTTCTTCAATCATTCCCTCTAGCAGCTCAGTGGAAGCAGCTGGATAGTTGGATGGGCGTGTGTGTGGCGACAAAGGCAATGCCCCCTGCACCCCTGTGCTCCTCTATCATTCCCTCTAGCAGCTCAACCCCAGCCAGGTCCAGCCCCCCGGATGGCTCGTCTAATGGCCACAATGAGCGGGGAATCGCCAGGAATCGGGCCAGCTGTAAGCGCTTGCTCTGGCAGAAGTGGGGGAAATGGGGGACGAGTAGGGATGATAGGGGGAAGTGAGGATGAACATCGTCCCCTCTAGCAGGTCAATGCCAGCCAGGTCCAGGAGCCACAATGAGCGGGGTATGGCGAGCAGCCGAGCCAGCTGCAGGCGCTTGCGCTGGTAGCGGGGGAATGGTGGGGGGGGGTGAGGGGAAAAGAGGGGACTGAGGGCTCCTCCTCAATAATCCCATCCAGCAGCTCAACGTCATGTTTTGAGTCGACTCAAAACACGACTCATTACAAGAGGGGATCGAAGGCACTCTGCTCCTCAATAATCCCCTCCAGCAGCTCAACGTCAGTCATGTACATCCCCCTTGGAGCCCCACGGATGGGCGCTCGTCCAATAACCAGAGGGAACAAGGAATGGCCACTGGCCAGTAAATGTTTTTTGAGAATTCTCAAAAAACATACGCTGGAACGAGGAATGGCGACTGGCCTGTAAGCAATTGTGCTGGGAGAAGAGGGGGAAGAGCAGTCACGTACACGTACGGCCCCACGGAGGGCTCGTCCAATACCAGAGGGAACGAGGAATGGCGACTGGCCAGTAAGCAATTGTGCTGGGAGAAGAGGGGGAAGAGCAGTCACGTACACGTACGGCCCCACGGAGGGCTCGTCCAATACCAGAGGGAACGAGGAATGGCGACTGGCCAGTAAGCAATTGTGCTGGGAGAAGAGGGGGAAGAGCGGAGGGCTTGCCCAGAACGCATCTGATTGGCACATAACACCTCCCCCAGCACTCACCTGGCCCATGCTGAGAATGCTGGCTGGCTCTCTTGACAGGTGCTTCAGCCCCACTGCCTCCAGCGCCCATGCCACTCTGTCCTCCGTACCCTCTAGTAGCGCCCACGTGCGCTGGAGGAGGGGTGTATGGGTTTAGGGTTTAGGGTGGGGAGGAACAGGAAGGAGAGTTCAGTCGCATGTGAACCACACGGTCACACCCTCCCACAGCCTCCAGCGCCCATGCCACTCAGTCCTCCGTGCCCTCTAGTAGCGCCCACGTGCGCTGGAGGAGGGGTGTATGGGTTTAGGGTTTAGGGTGGGGAGGAACAGGAAGGAGAGTTCAGTCGCATGTGAACCACACGGTCACACCCTCCCACAGCCTCCAGCGCCCATGCCACTCAGTCCTCCGTGCCCTCTAGTAGCGCCCACGTGCGCTGGAGGAGAGAGGAGTGTATGGGGGGAGAAGGAGACGGGTGAGGGAGGCTGCAGCTACTGTTTACACAGTCACACCCTCCTCCCACTGCCTCCAGCGCCCATGCCACCACCCTGTCCTCCGTACCCTCTAGTAACGCCCACGTGCGCTGGAGGAGAGATGGGTGGGGTGGGAGTGCAAGCAGTGCTCATATCACATGTGTAAACCACAGTGCCACAGCTTCTCACAGCCCCATCCCTCTTCAGCAGTGCGTGCCACAACCTCCCACAGCCCCACAGCCTCCAGCGCCCATGCCACTCTGTCCTCCGTGCCTTCTAGCAGCGCCCACGTGCGCTGGAGGAGAGATGTGGGGAGGAGAAGAGCAGTGCACACACTGCTGACATCACATGCAAACCACAGTGCCACAGCCTCTCACAGCCTTCCACAGTTTCCAGTGTCCATGCTACTCTGTCCTCCATGCCTTCTAGCAGCGCCCACGTGCGCTGGAAGAGGGATGGGTGGGGTGGGAGTGCAAGCACTGCTGACATCACAAGCAAACCACAGTGCCACAGCCTCTCACAGCCTTCCACAGCCTCCAGTGTCCATGCTACTCTGTCCTCTATGCCTTCTAGCCTCCAGTGTGCATGCTACTCTGTCCTCCATGCATTCTGGAGGAGAGATGGGTGGGGAGGGAGAGAATGGAGAATGCTGCCATGACGCTGCCCACGAGATGCACGGCCACCCAGTACACTGGCCAGGGCATGATGCCGTGACATGATGTGCGGTGTGGTGTGGTGTGATGTGGTGTGGCGTGGTGGTGTGGGCTGTGGATTTGAAGAAAGAGCACTCACGACGTTGTCATCAACAGTGAAGGCGTTTTTGATGGCGTCCTTGGCGCCCATCAGATGCACGTTCACTCCCAGGGGGTGTGATGCCGTGCCGTGGTGTGGTGTTGTGCGGTGCGGTGTGGTGTGGTGTGGTGTGGTGTGGTGTGGCATGGTGTGCCGTTAACTCACGACGTTGTCGTCAACAGTGAAGGAGTTTTTGATGGCGTCCTTGGCGCCCATCAGATGCACGTTCACCCGGTACACTGCCCAGAGGGGGGCGTGATGCCGCGGCAGAAAGAAAGCGGTTGCTTCGTTTGCAGCTGACATGAAGCAGGATAGGATGGAATAGCAGGCGATAGAGCATGCAGGAACACAGGCGCACATCCTCGAGCATGCAGGAACACAGGCGCACATCCTCGAGCATGCAGGAACACAGGCGCAAAATGTACTTGATTGATTGACACACATTGCACATCCTCGCTACAGTCACAATGCTCAGGCACACCTCGCGCTGAAGCTCTCACATTCCTCACTGTCCACTCGTTACAAGCACACTCCTTACTGTCATATACATCTGGGTTCATGAGGCTGTGGCCTTGCCACATCAGATACCCCGCAGTGGGCTTTATAAATCCTGCCAGCTGGACAGACACGTGGACAAATAGAATAGGAGGATAGATGCCTCAAAACCAGCCTGCCAGCTGGAGACACATGGCAAGCAAGCAGAGAGATAGGGCGTTCATACAGCTCGATGGATGAATGTGCTCTTCGCGCTGAATGTTAACAGATCAGGTTGATGGTGTTAACAGATCAGCTTGATGGTGTTAACAGATCCCACTCAAGGAGGCCATTCAAGCTTCTCACCAATCTCAGAAATGTGCTCTTCCCGCTGCCGTTAGGCCCCGTTAGAAGCACACCGTCGCCTTCATACACGCTCATGTTTATATCGCGCAGAACCACCTCGCCGCTGCGCATGCACGCGACGCGACTCGCGATTAATCTAGGCAGCTCGTCCGGCTGTAGCGTCGGCGCGAGAGGCGCTGCGGCGAGGTCTCTAGTCGAATCTATGAATGACGTTTGCAGGCGCGACTCGGGATCCGACCAATAGGAAGGCTTGGGTGGTGGGATCTCCGGTCCAGGGTTGACGCGTGGAGGCGGGAAGAAATAGTTTAAGAAGGAGCGGCTCGGGGATGCGGGGGGATTGGACGGAGTGGATCGAAAGATGGATGGAGGGGCAGCAGCGAGAGGAGTAGCCAAGGCGTTACCGAGACAAGCAGAGATTTGAGGATTAGTTTTAAACCGTGCCATTGTGACGGCTATCGAGTGCTTACTCCTTGCTAGCTACCATGCTCCTTATTCTGGTCAGCTCGAGCCTAACCTTAGCCCCTAATATTCCTTGGTGTTACTGAACTTGGCGGCTGTTCTTCGTTAATGAACATTCGTTCGCGGTACAAGTATTCTAAAATCACTGGTCAATATAAAAGTCGAAATGATCAATGCATTTTATACTTTCGATACAAGCATGTCGGTCGGTTCGCAATTCGCCACTTCTTCGCATCACCTTCAGCCCGCGAAAAGGTTTCGCGCCCTGACTCTGTCACTGCCCTCCTCGTCAGCCAATAGCAATCAGTCAGAGCCTAGAATGGGTTGTTGTCCGACAGCATGCCAATCAAAATGTCCAGACGTCAACGAAGATGGACGACATGTATGCGACTGATGATAAACTCGCGAACTCCATGTCACAGCTGTGAACTTTCGACGTGTACAGCAAACGAGCTCGCAGCAGAGCTGAACGAAATTCGCAAGTCTCGCTGAAACGTCATCAATCGTCGCGAAGCCATCAACAAGTTGTCAGGAAGCTGTCAGCAACCCCGAAGTCCCAGATCGCACAGCCGTGACTCCTCTCATAAACTTAGGGAAGCAAGCTTGAAGCGAGGATATAGAAGGTTCAGTCAAGAATACTCCAGGGAAAACTACTTCAGATACCTGCTCCCTACCACTCACCTTATTAGTAAGGGTTCGTCCAGTCAGCATACCCCTCCAACTGGGTAAGGCTGCTGTATGTCACAACAGTAGCGTCGCCGGGTGGTATTTTGAAAAGCTCCCACGTTCTCTGTATTTGCGAGAAAGCAGTTAGGAGGCATGCTACTGCCGTCGTCCAGTCTTGTTGGTTGAGAAAAAGAGGGAATAAGAATGCGTTTGTTGGTGAGCGTTGATTTGTAGGCGAGACGTCGTTGGACGGCAAAAGCTCGTAATCGAATACTCTTGCTTCATTCCCTTAGCCGCCAGCACGAAATGGACGGTAGAAGATATAGACGACCGAATTCCCCAGTCATATCCAACGATCAGGATTACGGCTCAAGCATGCCTCGAATGGATTCCTCGCCGCGGCCAGCCTTCAGTCCGAAGTTTCTCCCGCTCCTTCCTATTCCCGCGCGCAGTCCTAGTCCTAGTCGAATCCCTCAATATCGGGGATCAGGCAAAGCCGGATCGCACATGAAACCTCTTAGCTTAGTACCAGAACGGCTCGACGAGTCAGATCCATCAGCGACGCCTACTCCGCCGCCAGAGCTTAACGACGATCATTCCGTGGCGGTTTGGGGTCTGCAGATTGCCGGACATATCCGGCAGCTTCGGAACGCGGCTCGAGGCCTGATGCCGAAGCTGTACAGGCTGTCGAGGCTCGTTGACCTGGGTCCTCAGGACTCTCCCAAACCGCAGGACCAGGTTTGGAAATCTGGAATCGTGCCGGAGTTTCCGAAGCTGTGCACGCACCTGTGGAGGAAGTTTCCGGAACACCCACGGAACCTGCAGCTTGATAAGGTGTGTACGAACTTCACGAAGTAACAAGCCCATATTTCGCCGAAAAAGTCACCATTCTCCGTGTCAGGGTGACTTCTGTGTGACGGATACCCACCCAACAACAAGCAAGTGCGCTGCCTTCTTTTAACCGACTAACATATTTCTCCAGCCGTTCTGCAGTCTCCCCTTGAATTCGACTCAAAAGCACTGCCATTCAGTGAAGAATTTTAGCCCTATTTGCCCCGTCCTTGCCTCTCTATCTCTTTCGATCCCCCTGCCTACCTGTGAACCCCTCAGGTGGACCGAACTGCTCTCGAGGTGTTTGCCAGCTTCGGCTCGCATTTCCAAGCCTCTCTGCAGCCCTGGTACGAGGTACGGACCAAACCACACAAGACGTTGGAGGCTGGGTGCTCTGGTGTTCTAGTGCTGTGATGGTGGTATACGTCGTTGCCAAATCGGAGAAAAGGCTGGTTAATACCACTTTCTAAGCATTTGTGAAATGAAAACACGCCAGATTATTCTTTCTCCTCTTGAATAGGCCTGTCAGGTGCTGGTGGACCTGCCCCTCTTCAGAGAACAGCTCTGAGGCCCACAGAAGCGGTGATTTTACAGGTGTATTTTGAGGCTTGATATTGTGAAATGACAATGCGCAAAGTTTTTTTGTTCTCCTGCTCGAATGGCCTGGCAGGTGCTGGTGGACCTGGCTCTATTCAGGGAACACGCCCTTGTTCTGCTCAACGATCTTGCCACCAGCATTGTCACACTCTCTGTAAGAACCAACCGCACCACCCTTCCAAGCTTCCATTGTTATCCCAGAATTCTTATCCTGTCCTTGTCTGACTTGTTACTCTTTCCTCAAATGCCCTCTTTTGCCTTCCCCCAATTCTCTCTCTTCTCTAATTTCCAGCATTTTTCGCCCCTACTCCTCCCACCCTTTCCTTCATCCTTCCCTTGTCTGTCCTCCTACTTGCTTCTCAACTGCTTTCATTCTCCCAAAGTGATCCGCTTTCCGTTGTACTTCTATCTTCCAGATTCCTGTTTTCTTCGTTTCCGTTTCATTTCTTCGCGAGCTCTTTGTGCAGAAAAGAGGATGGTTGAAATGCTCTTTGTGCAGAAAAGAGGATGGTTGAAATGCTCTTTGTGCAGAAAAGAGGATGGTTGAAATGCTCTTTGTGCAGAAAAGAGGATGGTTGAAATGCTCTTTGTGTCGAGTCAGCCATCTTCTGCACTCTTCTCTCCTCCCTCATTCCTTACTTTCTTTCTTGCCGCAGAGAAGCATTTCAGCCTGGTCTTAACCCTCGCGTACTTCACTGCTTCACGGTTCGTTCGGTCGATCATAAACTCGTTGTGTTCTCCCCTGTGTTCCCTCCTTCCTCTTTTCAGCCCATGGTGAACCCTCTCGTGCTTCGCTCATTCATGGGCCTCTTCTCAGACTTCGTGCGAGTTAATCTCCTCTCGTTGAGGGTGAGTGTACAATGCGAGTTTCCTCCCACTGGAAGGCTGTACGTCAATGCTTTCTCGAACTGGGTATGGTACCAATCTAATTTCCCTGTCCTTGTGTTCGTGTGTGTGTGTGTGTGTGTGTGTGTGTGTGTGTGTGTATGTGTGTGTGTGGTGATCAGGCAGGGAAGAAGATGATAGTGCAGGTGCATGCACTGACAGTGCACTATACCACCAACGGTCAAGTGCCAGAGTGCTACGACAGGTACGGTATTCCTAAGGCATGGCAATCCCAAGGTATGGCAATCCCAAGATATGGCAAACAAGGTATGGCAATCCCAAGGTACGGCAAACAAGGTATGGCAATTCCAAGGCTTGGCAATCCGTGGCAATCCCGAAAGACAGCAATCGCAAGCTCAGCATGTACCACCACGCTTCCTTCTGAGTCGACTCAAAAGTCACAGCAATCGCAAGCTCAGCATGTACCACCACGCTTTGAGGTCGTTTTTGAGGCGCCTCAAAAACGAGCTCAGCATGTACCACCACGCTTCCTTCTCACTTCCTCCACTCCACCTCATTCCCCCTTTTTATCCCATTCCCCCAGAGTGCTGCAGTACGTGCAGGTAAACGACACACCCATGCTGGGCGTGCAGGAGAATCTCAGGACGGTGTGAGCGCTCACCATTCTTTCCCCCCAACTTCCTCCATCCCACCACTTCCCCCCCCACGTCCTCCCTCCCACTTCTTCTCATCCAACACTCCCACCCCCCTCCACATGTTCCCCCAGGGTGCTGCAGTACGTGCAGGCATACGATGCCCCCATGCTGGGCCTGCAGGAGGATCTCAAGCCTGTGTGAGCGCATATCCACCACCTCCTTCCCACCTTCTCCCTCCCACCACTTCGCCCCCCCCCCCCCCCCCTTCCCCACTTTCCCCCAGGGTGCTGCAGTGCGTGCAGGCAAACGACTCCCCCACGCTGGGCCTGCAGGAGGGTCTCAGGACGTGAGGACATACCGTTATTCCCTTCCACCTCCTCCCCTCCGTCCCACGTCCTTTCCCCTCCTTCCAGGGTGCTGCAGTGCGTGCAGGCATACGACGCCCTCATGCTGGGCCTGCAGGAGGAGAGGATGATGCTGTGTGTGCTGGTGTGTAATGTGACACACCCACTCTTTTCCGCTCCCCCCCTTCTCTCCCCGTCCCCCCCCAGGGTGCTGCAGTACGTGCAGGCATACGATGCCCCCATGCTGGGCCTACAGGGAGACCATTCTGTGAATATGTGTGCGCTCCTCCCCTCCTCACTTCATTACTCCCCCCACCCCTCTTCCCCTTCCAGAGTCCTGCAGTACATGCAGGCATACGGATATGCTGGGCCTGCAGCCATATGAAATCCGACTCAAAACGGATATGCTGGGCCTGCAGCCATATGAAATCCGACTCAAAACGGATATGCTGGGCCTGCAGCCATATGAAATCCGACTCAAAACGGATATGCTGGGCCTGCAGCCATATGAAATCCGACTCAAAACGGATATGCTGGGCCTGCAGCCATATGAAATCCGACTCAAAACGGATATGCTGGGCCTGCAGCCATATGAAATCCGACTCAAAACGGATATGCTGGGCCTGCAGCCATATGAAATCCGACTCAAAACGGATATGCTGGGCCTGCAGGAGGATCTCCGGACTATCGCTGTGTGTGAGTTCCTGCGCCAAACACCCACTCCACTCTACTTATCCCCTCTCTTCTCTCCCCCCCCCCCCCAGAGTGCTGCAGTACGTGCAGGCATACGACACCCCCATGCTGGGCCTAGAGGAGGATCTCATGACTGTTGCTCCCCGAATCTCCAAGGTCAGTGAACCTCAGTCATCCGCCGTTCCCTTTCATGCAAATTCGCCAGGGCCCTTTTGAGAAGTCTCAAAAGTCGCACCAAATTCGCCAGGGCCCCGTTCCCTAAGAGCTAACAGAACTCTGCGTCTCGCTGCTCTGCTCTTACTCTTAAGGGACCACCCTGGGCCCTCACGTTAGTGTACCACCTCCTCCTCCATCTATCCCCCACTCTCTCCCTTTCCCCAGGCTGTGGACACCGTTGCTCCTATCATTCTCGCATGGGAAGACACTCAGAAGCTTCGCACAGACATCTTTGTGAAGCCGTTCGCGTCGTGGCCCGACGTGGCATCCACCCCTCCGCCCTGGGATCTTATGGTGAGCCCTATGTGTCTTCAGCCTCCTTCAAACCCACATCGTACCATCTCGCATGCTTGCGAATCCTCTCGCGTCGTGGCCCACCCCGGCCCTTTCATCCCCCCCCACCCCCTACGCCTTCCGTTTCATCAGTGTGAGGAGCTGGTGAGCATGGAGGCGTGCAGCGAGTGGGCGCCCTTCGCCCTCCTCACGTGCTCTGCAGCTATGGTGAAAAGGCTTACTTTCTCAGTAACCCACCACCCACCACCTGCTACCCCTCCCCGCCCATCCCACCTTCAGTGCGAGGAGCTGGTGAGCATGGAGGCATACAGCGAGTGGGCGACCTTCGCCCTGCTCACATGCCCCGTGGAGATTGTAAAAGGCACGCGTGACGCTGCTGCTCTTATCCAGGTGAGATGCGGTGCGATGCGACGGGATGGGATGAGGTGAGACGAGGTGAGATGAGGTGAGATGAGATGAGATGTGATGCGATGAGATGGAGTGAGACGAGGTGCGTTCTAGTGCCATTTTGAGTGGACGCAACTGTCACCTCTTTGCCCTCCTCACATGCCCTGTGGAAACAGTGAAAGGCATGTGAGACGTGAAATAAGAGAGTTTTTGAGACGTCTCAAAAACAATGAAAGGCGCGTAAGACGCTGCTTCTCTCATCAAGGTGAGATGCGATGAGATGAGATGAGATGAGGTGAGACGAGATGACGTGGGACGAAATCAGATCAGACGCGTATTGATTGATGCATGCATGCTCATCCCTTCACCATGTGTGCATGCATTGGTGCAGCTGTGGGCCATGGGGGGCGCAGATGGAAAAGGGCAGAAAGGCACAGTCACATTTCCCTTTGTATTCCCTTTATCCTTCTCTTCCCCCCTTCTCTCTCCGTTATTTGCAGACTCTTCTCCACTCGCGTGCCATCGTGCCTCTATTCAGAGACGAGGTGCTGAGTGTGCATGCACAAGTGCAGCACTGGGCTGTAGGGCGCATGGGGGAGGGGAAGAAGGCAGAGCAATCACCTTTCCCCTTTGTAACCCTTTCTTTCTTCTCTTCCCTCCCTCTTCCTCTCTCCCTTACAGGCTCTCCTCCACACGAGGGCCATCGTGCCTCTGTTCAGGGATGAGGTGCTGTGTGTGCATGCAGAGGTGCAGCAGTGGGCGGTGGGGCGCATGGGGGAGGGGAAGAAGGCGGCCAAGGCAGCAGCAAGGCACAGAGCGCAGGGAGCAGAGGATGAGTATCAGCGATTGAGGGAGTGCTGTAGACTGCTGGGGTGAGTGCTGTAAGCTGATAGGGTGAGTGCTGCAGACTGATAGGGTGAGTGCTGCAGACTGATAGGGTGAGTGCTGCAGACTGATAGGGTGAGTGCTGCAGACTGATAGGGTGAGTGCTGCAGACTGATAGGGTGAGTGCTGTAAAACTCTGCTGCTAGGTGGCGTTTGAACCAGCAGCGAGGCACAGAGCACAGGGAGCAGAGGTGGAGTACCAGGGACTGAGGGAGTGCTGCTGATTGGTGGGGTGAGTGCTGCCGATTGGTGGGGTGAGTGCTGCCGATTGGTGGGGTGAGTGCTGCCGATTGGTGGGGTGAGTGCTGCCGATTGGTGGGGTGAGTGCTGCCGATTGGTGGGGTGAGTGCTGCCGATGGGTGGGGTGAGTGCTGCCGATTGGTGGGGTGAGTGCTGCCGATTGGTGGGGTGAGTGCTGCCGATGGGTGGGGTGAGTGCTGCCGATGGGTGGGGTGAGTGCTGCCGATGGGTGGGGTGAGTGCTGCCGATGGGTGGGGTGAGTGCTGCCGATTGGTGGGGTGAGTGCTGTTTAGGGGATACCTTTGCTGATAGGGTGGCCTTTGAATTGAACCAGCAGCAAGGCACAGAGCGCAAAGAGCAGAGGAGGAGTATCAGCGACTGAGGGAGTGCTGCCGACTGATAGGGTGAGTGCTGCTTATGGGATGGCTGTGCTGCTAGGTAGCTTGTGAACCAGCAGCGAGGCACAGAGCGCAAAGAGCAGAGGTGGAGTACCAGCGACTGAGGGAGTGCTGTCGACTGATAGGGTGAGTTGTGCCGATTGGTGGGGTGAGTTGTGCTTACTTGTGGTGAGTACGGATTACTGATTGGTTCTGCATGAGATGGAACTGCAAGCAATGTGTGCGTGTGCACTGCATCCCTTCCTTCTCCTTCTCGCCCCCCTTGTTAACTCTGACTTAGCGCCGCTGTGTGATGACCCAGCCCTATGCATCTTCTCTCCCTCTCTCACCCACCCCGCTTGACTACACTACCAGGGACCCAGCAAATGGAAGTGGTATGCACGCTTGTCTGCAGCGAATGGCAGACTCACACCGGAGGAGGAGGCGCTTCCTACTGGGCCACGAGGGCAGGCGCCTGCTGCTGAGGCTGTGTGATCAATCCCTAACCCCTATGTTTCTCCCTCTCTCTTTCCCCCCTCTCCAACAGGGACCTAGTAAGTGGGAGTGGCATGCACACGTGTCTGCAGAAAATGGCAGACTCACACAGGAGAAGACGCTTCTTATTGGGCCTCGAGGGCAGGCGCCTGCTGCTGAGGCTGGTGGACGAGCCCTGATGAACACCTAAGGTCTTACTCAGTCTCTTCCCCCCCTCCGACTGGCAGAGATCTGGTAGGCTCTACCGGCATGCATGCCTGTCTGCAGCGAATGGCAGATTCGCACAGGAGGAGGCGCTTTCTGCTGGGCCACGAGGGCAGGCGCCTGCTGCTGAGGCTGGCGGATGAGCCGTCACTGCTGCCGGCCATGCTGCAGCTGGTTTTGGCGGTGCTGGCCCTGCTGCGAGCTGAGGTGCACTGGGCTATACTGCACACCTCCTGCCTCGCCCAGTCCGCCCCTGTCACGGTAAACCAGAAACTATTTTGCACTTTCTGGCGGTCTCTGCCACTCTCTCCTGCTGTCATCTCGTCCGGCTGCTCTCTCCTGCTATCGCCCTGCTGCGAGCTGAGGTGCACTGGGCCATACTGCACACCTCCTGCCTCGCCCAGTCCGCCCCTGTCACGGTAAACCAGAAACTATTTTGCACTTTCTGGCGGTCTCTGCCACTCTCTCCTGCTGTCATCTCGTCCGGCTGCTCTCTCCTGCTGTCGCCCTGCTGCGAGCTGAGGTGCACTGGGCCATACTGCACACCTCCTGCCTCGCCCAGTCCGCCCCTGTCACGGCAATCCAGGGGTTCTCTTTCTCTCTGCTCTGCGCTGCCCTCTTCTTTTGAGTCGACTCAAAAGCAATCCAGGGGTTCTCTTTCTCTCTGCTCTGCGCTGCCCTCTTCTTTTGAGTCGACTCAAAAGCAATCCAGGGGTTCTCTTTCTCTCTGCTCTGCGCTGCCCTCTTCTTTTGAGTCGACTCAAAAGCAATCCAGGGGTTCTCTTTCTCTCTGCTCTGCGCTGCCCTCTTCTTTTGAGTCGACTCAAAAGCAATCCAGGGGTTCTCTTTCTCTCTGCTCTGCGCTGCCCTCTTCTTTTGAGTCGACTCAAAAGCAATCCAGGGGTTCTCTTTCTCTCTGCTCTGCGCTGCCCTCTTGAGGCACCTAAAGAACGCCTCTCTCGCTCTCTCTTTGCTGCTGAAGTTGGCGTATAAGCCCTCAGTGCTGGCGCCTACATTAAGCCCTCAGTGCTGGCGCCTACATTAAGCCCTCAGTGCTGGCGCCTACATTAAGCCCTCAGTGCTGGCGCCTACATTAAGCCCTCAGTGCTGGCGCCTACATTAAGCCCTCAGTGCTGGCGCCTACATTAAGCCCTCAGTGCTGGCGCCTACATTAAGCCCTCAGTGCTGGCGCCTACATTAAGCCCTCAGTGCTGGCGCCTACATTAAGCCCTCAGTGCTGGCGCCTACATTAAGCCCTCAGTGCTGGCGCCTACATTAAGCCCTCAGTGCTGGCGCCTACATTAAGCCCTCAGTGCTGGCGCCTACATTAAGCCCTCAGTGCTGGCGCCTACATTAAGCCCTCAGTGCTGGCGCCTACATTACAGCTGCTGCTAGCTTTGCAGGGTCTGACCACATGCTTCGTCTCCTTCTTTCACTTTGCAGGGTCTGACCACATGCTTCGTCTCACAGACTCACACCCTGCCAATCCCGCCACGCCCTGCCACACCCTCCCTCCCCCCTTGCAGGGACCAGAAGCTGACTCGGTGGCAGTGCTGATCGATACCACGTTTCACCTCGTTGAGTTTCCAGAGTCAATTTAAGGTGTATCCCCCCTCTCCCTGTCACACCCTCCCTCCCTCCACTGCAGGGAGCAGAGGCGGACTCAGTGGCAGTGCTGATCGACACCATGTTCCGCCTCGTGTCCCTCATCCAGACCCACATGCTCGGTACGTACATACGTGCTGCTGCTGCTGCTGCTGCTGCTGGTGGCAAAATGCTGTGGTGCAGGCTTGTCATGCGAAGCGGTGATCTGAATCTCACAGGTTGTACGAGGTATGTGGGCATTATTAAAGCTAACACTTCCCCTTGACTGTTCTCCTGAGTCAAGCTGTTGTCCTTGCCCTGCTTCCCATATTCCCCTATTCTCCAGCCATCCAGGCGCATGCATCGTGGCAGGTGCAGTGGGGAGCGAGGCGGGTGAGAGAGCTGATCGCGCTGCCAGCTGTGCGCCAGCTGGCGATGAGCGCCCAGCTGGAGGCCTTCTTCTGTGACACGTCAGCGTCCTTGCTGGCAGCCGCCCGGTTCCTCTGCGATGCTGACGTGGCATGTGCTGGCGGTGGTGGCAGTGGGGGAGGGAGCAGCATGGAGTATGAAGAACGGATGCAGATGGTAAGGACTGAAGTAAGGGTTAGGAGTGGAGAGCTCTTTGGGGCATCTCGAAAGTCCGGAGCAGCATAGACTGTGACGAACGGATGCAGATGGTAAGCTGCTCACATCCTTCTTCGATGCTGATGTGGCACTAGTGGTGGTTGTGGTTGTGGTGGTGGTGCCCCCTCCCCCAGCAGCACGCCCTCCCATCAGACCAGCTGGCTGGCAGGGCACAGTGGCTGCAGCTGCAGCCGCTGCTCATTTCCTTCCTGCCCAACCAACATCCCTTTCCCTTCTCCCTAATCCCCTCTCCCCTGTCCCCTGTCCCCTCTCCCCTCTCCCCTCTCTCCTCTCCCCTCTCCCTCCGCCCATCTCCCGCCTCCCCCCTCTCCCAGCACGCTCTGGCATGCGATGCGACCAGGTGGCATGCGATGCGACCAGGTGGCATGCGATGCGACCAGGTGGCATGCGATGCGACCAGGTGGCATGCGATGCGACCAGGTGGCATGCGATGCGACCAGGTGGCATGCGATGCGACCAGGTGGCATGCGATGCGACCAGGTGGCATGCGATGCGACCAGGTGGCATGCGATGCGACCAGGTGGCATGCGATGCGACCAGGTGGCATGCGATGCGACCAGGTGGCATGCGATGGGACCAGGTGGCATGCGATGCGACCAGGTGGCATGCGATGCGACCAGGTGGCATGCGATGCGACCAGGTGGCATGCGATGCGACCAGGTGGCATGCGATGCGACCAGGTGGCATGCGATGCGACCAGGTGGCATGCGATGCGACCAGGTGGCATGCGATGCGACCAGGTGGCATGCGATGCGACCAGGTGGCATGCGATGCGACCAGGTGGCATGCGATGCGACCAGGTGGCATGCGATGCGACCAGGTGGCATGCGATGCGACCAGGTGGCATGCGATGCGACCAGGTGGCATGCGATGCGACCAGGTGGCATGCGATGCGACCAGGTGGCATGCGATGCGACCAGGTGGCATGCGATGCAACCAGGTGGCATGCGATGCAACCAGGTGGCATGGCACAGCATCAGAAGTGAGTGGGTGCAGCTGCACCCGCTGTTCTTCCCTTTCCTGCCCAACCAACTCCTGGGTGCTCTACCCGCTCCCCACCCCACTTCCTCTCTCTCCCAGCACGCCCTCGCCTCCGACCAGCTGGCATGGCACAGCATGAGGAGCGAGTGGATGCAGCTGCAGCTGCTGCTCTCGTCGCCCTTCACGACGGTGTCAGCGAGAGTGCTGCATCTGGTGTCGGGGGGGGATGATGGCCCAACCAGCATCGTCACAGAGTGCAACCGCCTCTATGTGTGGTGCAGGTACGTTGCTGTGGGGCTCATGTTACTTCACTACCGTCATATGCACTGGCTTTTGAGTCGACTCAAAAGCTGCTGTGGGGCTCATGTTACTTCACTACCGTCATATGCACTGGCTGCTGCCACTGCTGGTACTGCCGCTGCTGCGTGACTCTGTCTATCTCCCCTCTTCCCACCTCACCACTATCTGTCAGGTGCATTGATCAGCTGCCAGAGGTGGTGGACGAGCAAGCTTCATTGCACTTTATGTAGTACTGTTATCGATCGCTGTTGCATGTGTGACTGTGTGTATCTCGTCTCCCCTCCTCCCACCCACCACTATCAGGTGCATTGATCAGCTGCCAGAGGTGGTGGATGAGCAAGCCTCTTTGCACCTCATGTGCTACTATCGACCGCAGATGACGCAGGTACTCACTCCGAGCCATTCATTTCCTTCTACTCTTGGATCTCCTCAGAGAGTTATCAAAGAGTTTGAAACTGGTTGCTGCCTTTTTCATCTCCTTTGCTGTTTTTTACTCTACATCTGGTCCCCAACCATCGCGTTTCTCACCTGGCCCCATTGCTTGCCTCTCAGGTGTTTCGCCAGGTGCTTTTCTCCCCTCACGGCACGCCATCGCACGCTGTAGGCTGGCTGATGGTGGCTCAAGCCTTCCTGCACAACCTGCCACTCTCCCTGCCAGACGAGGTGATACGAAAACCCTTCTTTTCAAACGGTCCTTTGTATTGCCCTTCTTTCTCTCTTTTCTCTCTTTCTGAATAGGATCCTTGACAACAACATGATTCACATCTCACTGCCAACCAACCCTCTGCTTTTCCTCCTCCCTCTCCTCTATTGTTTCTCCCCCACAGCGTCCCACACTCCTGCCAACAGCAGTGCAGTTTGCCGACTCGCTGCTCCATGCCATCACGGGGGGAGTGGACTCGCTTTTCTCTGCACTACAGTCGGACCAGGGGCTGACCGGGCTACACATTAAGGTAGGTCCCATGCTGCCACTCCCTGTTACATGCTGCACCCATACACACTGCAACCATGCACACTGCACCCATACACACTGCAACCATGCACTACTCCATGCTATCATGGGGGGGGTTGACTCGCTTCTCTCGGCACTACAGTCGGACCAGGGGCTCACTGGGCTTCACATGAAGGTGAGCGTGTGGTGTTGGTGTCACCCATACATGCTTGCATCCATATTGCTGCACCCATGCATGGTACACCCATCCTGCTACTCCATGCACGTGTGCCCCATGTGTGCTCTGCTCTGCACATGCGGACGCTACCAGCAGCAGCAGCAGCAGCAGCAGCAGCAGCAGCAGCAGTCATACTGGCAACCACCACTCAAGCCCCACGTGTTGCCAACCCCAATGTGTGGCCCTCATTTTCCCCATGTTTCCCCCATGTGTGCTCTGCTCTGCACCTCACGTGTCCCCCATGTTTCCCCCATGTGTGCTCTCCCCATGCAGACGCTACCAGCAGCAGCAGCTGTCCTACTGGCAACCACCACTCAAGGCACCGTCGCTGGCCACCAGGCAAACACGCATCCCTCAGCGGATCAGCAGCACCAGCTGCTGCTGCAGCTGCTCCCAGGGAGTGAAAGCCAGCCGCACAACCGAGCACACATTGCCGGGTAAGCCCCTCCTGTGCTTGCATACTCTGATGCCTCCTCATTCTCTGACCTTGATTCAATTACTTCCACTCTCCACTCCACTCCATGTTTACCTCATCCCCCTCCCCTCCTCCCTCCCTCCTTCCCTCCCTCCCTCCCTCCTTCCCTCCCTCCCTCCCTCCCTCCCTCCCTCCCTCCCTCCCTCCCTCCCTCCCTCCCTCCCTCCCTCCCTCCCTCCCTCCCTCCCTCCCTCCCACCCAACCGCCCACCAGCATAAGCGCATCACTGCACAAGCTAGTGGGGCTCATATCAGCCATTGACGGCCTGCCACCTGTCCGAGTCGCCGACCATGCGTTTGTGCCCAGAGAGGTAACGTCCCTCCCATACCATTCTTGGAAGTACATATTGCCCAGAGAGGTACATATTGCCCAGAGAGGTACATATTGCCCAGAGAGGTACATATTGCCCGCCATTCTCCCCAACGGCCACCTGCAGCGACTTTTGAGAATTCTCAAAAGTCGCACCAATTCTCAGGAGAATTCTCAAAAGAACATATTGCCCGCCATTCTCCCCAACGGCCACCTGCAGCGCCCCTCAGCCTCGAAGTCCCACATTACTCTCCATCCCCATTCGCTGTTCCCTCTTTCCCCTCTCCCCTACCCCCTGTTTCCTGTCCCGTATGCCATCTCCCTCCCCTACCCCATCCCCCCAACATTACCTGAGAGAAAAACTCACCCGCCACTTGCACCACCGCCTGCGCTCCGCTATTCTCCCCAACGGCCACCTGCAGCCACACTCCACCTTTGAGTGCTGAACAAACTCAACCCCTCCCTCTCGCCGTCTGTCCCTCCTTGTCCCCTCTCCCCTACCCTGTCACCCCCCTTACAGTACCTGAGGGAGCGCCTCACCCGCCACTTGCACCACCGCCTGCGCTCCGCCATTCTCCCAAACGGCCACCTGCAGCGCCCCTCCGCCTTGGAGTGCTAAACACCCTTTGAACCTTCTTCCTTGCCCCCTCTTCCCCACCCTCTTCGTCCCGCCAACAGTACCTGCGGGAGCGCCTCACCCGCCACCTGCACCACCGCCTGCGCTCCGCCATTCTCCCCAACGGCCACCTGCAGCGCCCCTCCGCATTTGAGTCCTGCACAACCTCTGACCTTTCCACTACCCCCTCCCTCTCCCCTTTCGCCTCCCTCTCCTCTTCCCCCTCCCTCTCCCCTACAACCCCATCTTATCAACAGTACCTGCGGGAGCGCCTCACCCGCCACCTGCACCACCGCCTGCGCTCCGCCATTCTCCCCAACGGCCACCTGCAGCGCCCCTCCGCCTTCGAGTCCTCCCTCACTCGCTTCCTCCTCCTCCTCCTGCTCCTGCAGCAGCACTGCTCTCTCGACCTCTCTCGAACCATCCGGGAGGTTCTTCTGGGGGAGGCCTTTCCTAGGAGGGACAGGGGGAAGGGGGAGGAGATGGAGGAAGGGGAAAGGGCAGGGAGAGGAGAGGGGAGACATGGGGAGGAGGTTTATGAGGAGCAGGTTATGGGGGGGTGCAGGGACTTGCACCCACTGTATCGGCCTGAGTGGGAGAGAGAGAAGATTGGGGGAATGGGGAGGGGAGGTGGGGGAAGGGGGAAGACGGGAGAGGGAGGAGTAGGAGTGGGAGAGGGAGGAGCGTGGGATGGAGACGGGGAGAAGAGAGGAGGGATGGAGAGAGGAGGGGAGGATAGTGGAGGGTTGGAGAGAATAGGGGAAGAGAGAGGATGGGAGGAGCGAGGAGGGGTGCATGGCAAGGCAGTGTCGAGCTCACTAGATGCTAGGCTGAGGAAGAGTGGCGGATGGAAAGGACGATGGTCCGTGGGTTCCAAACAAGGCAAAGGCACGAGCATGGGGATAGATTTGGGAACAGGTATGGGAACAGGTATGGGAACAGGTATGGGAACAGGTATGGAGGAGAGTTGCATAGAAGAGGAGGGTCTAGAAGCGAGAGGTGGTGGGAATGGGGTGGTTGGAGGGCAAGGGGAAGCTTCTGGGCAAGTGCAGGAGGGAGGAAGAAAGGGTGGGTTAGGGTGGAGTGAAGATGGGGTTGTTGGTGGTGAGAGCTTTGACGGGCCGAGTGCGGCTGTGATTATAGCGCGATGGTACGTTGACAATGTGGTGTGTGACTGTAATGAGGCTGGGGTGCTGTTCTCCCCGTTTGACGCCACCTTTAGAAGCACAGCATGGGGGGGACGTGTAGCATCACCATCATTACCACCAGACGCAGCAGCAGAAGGAGGAGGAGGAAAAGCAGGAGAAGGGGTAGGAACCAGCAGCAGCAGTCCAGTCAAACTCGGAACAGGAAGTCTCCCACCTGGTCATCTCACTCCCCCTGTGGCCTCCTTTCCTGCACTCGTCCCAGGAGCAGCAGCTGCAGCAGGCGCGTTCAGCCCCCTCCTGCCCTTCCCCAGCCCCAGTCCTTCCCTCGCTACTCCGCCCACTTCCTCCTCCATCTTCTCCTCCTCCCCCTCCTCCTCTGCCTCCACATTTCCATCCTCCTCTGCTGCATCCCCGTTCACTACGGCGTCCCCTCAGGCTGGTGTCTCTGTGGCTTCGATCCCCGCCTCCTCCCCCATCTCCCCAATCCTCGCCTCACCCAATTCATTTCCCCCTGGTGCGGCGTCTGCTGCTGCAGGGGGGGGAATAGGAGCAGAAGCAGGAGCAGGCGGAGCAGGGGGAGGAGGGGGAGCGGGTGGATTTGTGGCTCGGCCAGTGATTGCTGAGCTGGTGGCGGATGGTGCTGAGCTGGCTGCGTTTGTGAGGCTGTTTGGATTCTACGGGGCGGATGAGCTGGCAGGGCGGGTGGTGCGCCCCGTGTTGCTGCGCCTGCTGAGTCGCCTGGAAGCCATTCTGAGGGCCAACCGGGATTCCCTAATGATGCTCGCATCCAAGATGCACCTCTCTCCTCCCTTGCAGGTGAGTTGTTGATGTTGTTGTTGATGTTGTTGCTTTTACTTCTTCTTTTTTCTTCATCTTTCCCCTCAGCCGCCTGGAAGCCATTCTGAGGGCCAACCGAGACACTCTTATGATGCTCGCTTCCAAAATGCACCTCTCTCCTCCCTTGCAGGTTCCCTCCGCTGCCGCCGCCGCCGCTGCCTCTGCCGCTGCTGCTAGTGCTGCTGGTGCTGCTGATTCTGCTGATCCTGCTGTGAGCACAACTGGCCCTGGAAAAAGGGACTCAAGCACACCTGTTACAGGCACAGATGGAGCAAGCAAAACCGCTACAGGCCCATCTGCTGCAAGCAAACCCGGTACAGGCACAGGCACTGGCAGTGCCACCCGCACGCAGCAGCCGGAGGAGCAGCAGCGGGCAGCAGCAGCAGCAGCAATAGCAGCCCCAGCAGAGGAAGCTCTCTCCCTCTGTATCCAAATCGGACACTGCCTCTCCTTCCTCCACGTCCTCTCCTCTGCCTGCTCCTCCACCCTCCACGACCACATCCCCCTCGTGCTCTCAGTGTTACGGGATACTGCCTCCCACCTCCCTCCCTCCTGCCCTGAGAGTGTGGCTGTGGGGCAGTTGAGGAGGGTTGCTGCTAGGTGCGGGGTGGGAGGAGGGGCAGCGGGAGCAGCGGCGGTTGCGGCAGGTGGGGCGGTGGTTGTGAGCGGGATGGGGGGCGCGGGGGGGATGGCGGGGGTCGGGGGAGGGGGAGGGGAGGAGGAGGTGGGCGGAGGGGGAGGAGGAGCAGATGGGACGTTAGCAGAGGTTCTTGAACTTCTGATGGAGATAGGAGGAGTGGGAGACGGAGCTTGGGCCATGCTGCCCTTTCTCTTTGCTCTCATGCTGGGAGGAGAGTCATGGGAAACCTGTGTATACCTCCCAGAAATACAGGGGTTTTCGGATAATGCCAACTGTTTGATTCGGGCTATACACGTGCTTCTGGTGGGGTGCGAGCGAGCAGGGGCAGAGAGAAGAGAGTTGAAACGAGAGCTGCTAGCCCAGCAGCGGATCATGAGAGGATCAAATCGCAACTCGGAGGATTACGCTGATGACGACGAGCCGACCAATCTGGTCCGGCTGGCGGGCGGCGTGGCCGGCATGATGCGGACGTTTGTGCAGCACGCAGCGAGTTTCGTCCTGAATTCCTGGGATAAGGGCCCGCGGGGTGCGTGGGCTTCAAGAGTGATCTTCTTGGACCAGCTCTGTCTCTTCTCCCCCCATCTGCCTCGATCGGTGTTGGAGAAATACCTTCCCTACACACTCATCCGTGCGGCTTACAACGCGTACCACAATCACCCTCCTCTCCCTCTCCCGCTCCCGCTCCCTCTCGCTCCTCCTCCTGCCCCTCAGCCCTCCTCTTCTCCGTTCGCAGCCACAGTTCCTGCTGCATCTCCCATGGGAGCAGGAGATGGGAGGACTCCACTCTCCTCCATCCCGTCCTCCTCTCCTCTCTTCCCTCCCCACACTCGTCCCTCTGGCCCGTTTGCTGCAAGAAAGGTTCGAGACATTATCCAACCCCCATCTCCACCATCCCCACCATCTCCCCCTCTCCTCTCTCCCCCTCCTGGTCCTCCCCAGCAGTCCCCCTTCCCCTCACTCTCCCCCGACCTTACCTTACCTTCTGCTTTTCCGAACCAAGCGCAGCTGTCAGCTACAGGACAGGGATTGCCGCCCAGCACGGATCCTCAACAGTCACATCTGTCACAGTCACAGCAGCTGCGGTCACAGCTGCAGCTGCGGCTGAGAGCAGCAGAGGGAGGCAGCGGGAATTTAGAGCAGTTAGAGCAGCAGCTAGAGCAGTTAGAGCAGCAGAGACCAGCATATGCATCGTCTTCTCTGCTGGAAATGGCACAGAGCTTCGAAACGCCCCAGCAAAACGCGTCTGCCACTGTGGCAGAAAGGAGTGGGGGGTATGGGGGGCATGGGGGGCGGGGGGGTCGAGCCCCCACTGCCGCTGCAGCTGCTGCTGCTGCTGCCGCTGCTTCTGCTGTTTCGTTTGGCTATGCTGCCGGTGGTCCTGGTGTTGAGGGCGAATACTCAGGTGAATTTTCAGGTGAGGTGTCAGGTGAGGGCGGGTCTCCAAGCCACGCACCTGCCATGCGCTGCCTGCCCTCCACGCCTCAGTCACTGGCAAGGAAGCATGGCTTCTCCCACCACTCCCAGCAGCAGCACAGCAAGGCACATTCTCCCTCTGTCTCGTCTCAGGGATACAGGTCAGGTCAGCTGTTTAGTCACACAGGGGCAGAGCCAGGAACAGGGGGAGCAGCAGGAGCAGGAGGAGGTGGCATTGGAGCAGCAGCAGCAAGACCAGCACCGGCATCGCCAGCAGTGGTGGCGGCAGCAGCTGCTGCTGCAGCATCCGTTTCCCTCCCTCCTGGCCTCGCTGCTGCTGCCCCGCTCACCCTCCCTGCTGCTGCTTCTGCTCACGACCCCCTACCTCTTGCTTCCTCCGCTTCCTCCTCCTCCTCCTCCTCGTCCTCTGCATATCGTGCCCCCCCTTCCTCTGCGTGGATGCACATGAAAGGCAAGCCCAAGGCGAAGTCAGGGCAACTGGTGTATGGGCTGGCAGGGAAGATGGGAAGAGCAGGAGGGGGAGGAGGGGGGGGAGTGGGAACAGGAGGAGGCATGGGTAAGGGGATGGGCATGGGGGTGGGTATGGGGATGGGGATGGGGATGGGAGGAGGTGGTGGTATGCGTGGAGTGGGGGGAGGAGGAGGAGGGGGAGTGGGAGGAGGAGTCGGAGGGGGGAGAAGGAGCACCACGCCCACCAGGAGGCAGGCTCGATCTGGGCCGTTGATTTCGGGGGCATCGCATGAGCAGATGGACGTTGGAGATGCAGCGATGGGCATGGTCAGAACCGCATCTTCTCATCCCCGTGGGACTGCTGCTGCTGCTGATGCCGGTGTTAGTGGTGCTGGTACTGGTGCTACTGGTGGTAGTGGTGCTGGTACTGGTGCTACTGGTGGTAGTGGTGCTGGTACTGGTGCTACTGGTGGTAGTGGTGCTGGTGACGCTGCTGGTGCTGGTGCTGCTGCTGGTGGTGGTGGTGGTGGTGGTGTTGATGGCACGGGTGACGCAGGAGTTGACTGGGAGTACAGTGCAGATGGGTTCGACCAGTTTGGGGACGGTGATGACTTCTCTCCAGCAGACGTCTTTGCTGAAATCGGCCGGGCTGCTGCTGCTGGCAGTGGCAACAGTGGGGACGAAGGGGACTGGGAGAGGCACAATCGAGGGTCGGCTGGTACAGGAGGAATGGGACGAGAAGGGACAGCCAGTGCTGCTGCTGACGCTGATGCTGCTGCTGCTGCTGCGCGTCGCATGCTCACAGCACGGATTAAAGCGGCAGTGCTGTCAGCCCTGGGGTTGACTGGCCTGGGGATGGGGAGAAAGTCAGGAGGGAAGGAGGACCTTCGACCCGCTCCTCCTGCCTTTTCCACTGCTGATGGTGATGCTGCTTCTGTGTATACAAGTGCTAGTGCTGGTGCTGCTGGTGTTTCTGGCGGCAGTGGTGCTGGCGTTGGCGTGCGTAATAGCACGAGTGGGGGAGGATGGAGGGGGTTCAGTGGGAACCTGAAGCCCTTTTCTCCCAGGAGGAGCAACGTGGGGGGTCATGATTTTCCTGGACAGGGTGGGGGCGTTGGAGGTGAGAGATGGGGGGAAACGGGTGGAGAGGCAGGGGTTGGAACAGGGGCAGGGACAGGAGGGAAGGGATTTGATTGGACGAGTCTGAATGACTTGCAGCAGCAGCTTCGGCAGCAGCTGCAGCAGCACCTGGACGGCCACCGAGGCTCGCTCGGAGGTAAGGGAACAGCCTCGGCAAGTGGAGTTTTGTCAGATGCAGGCACGGTTGGTGCTGCTGCTGGCTTTGGTGCTAGTGGTGGCGGTGGTGGTGCTGCTGCTGCTGGTGGTGCCGGTGCTGCTGGTGCTGGTGGTGGGAGTGCCGATGCACAGGCCCCGGAAATGAGTTCCCGAGGGCAGGCAAGCCCAGCAGTTGCAGCAGCGGCAGCAGCAGCAGCAGCAGGCCTCGTACCCCCATCCCTCCAAGCGGCAGCAAGACAAGAAGGCGGCGGCATGGCAGCATTACAACGCGCCAGCAGCAGCAACAGCCGCATGGGAGCAACCACTGCTACAACCATTTTCACCCATGGTGCCACCCAAGGAAATCATCTCCACTCCTTGGAACCGCGCAAGTATGGTGTCTCGGCCTCGGCCCCTCTCGATCCCCGGCTTGTTGCTGCAGGCGCTGCCCCTGCCTTCCCCGCTCTTCCCCCAGGCTTCCCTTACCTCCCTTCGTCTTCTTCCTCTGCTACTGCTGCTCGTTCCTCCTCTCCTGCTCCTGCCGCTGCTCCTGCTTCTGGTGCTGCATCGTCCCCCCGTCCCTCTGCTCCTGCTGCTGCTATATCTGCACCTCCGCGCGCCTTCGCTCCTGCTGCTGCAACAGCTGCCTCTCCCCGGGCCTCGGGTTTCCCGAGGCGGATAGACGTGGTGGGAGTGGAGGGGCTGGGGTTGCATGAGCTGGACGCCAAGGTGCTGGGGCTGAAGAGCCTCAACATCCCCAAGGGGAAGGACCGCACCGAGGATGAGGTGTTTGACGAGGAAGTTCCCCTAGTTAAAGGGGGGGGGAAGTGAATTCATCTTAGTGGTGGCCTTCTTAGGTAGGGTTGCATGAGCTGGACGCCAAGTTGCTGGGGCTGAAGAGCCTCAAAATCCCCAAGGGGAAGGACCGCACGGAAGACGAGGTGTTTGATGAGGAAGTTCTTGTTGTAAAGGGGGGTGGGAGGTGAATTTACCCCGGTGCTAGCCTTACTAGATAGTGAGAAGTGGTGGTGGGGGTGGAGGAGAGGCTGGGGTTGCATGAGCTGGACGCCAAGGTGCTGGGGTTGCATGAGCTGGACGCCAAGGTGCTGGGGTTGCATGAGCTGGACGCCAAGGTGCTGGGGTTGCATGAGCTGGACGCCAAGGTGCTGGGGTTGCATGAGCTGGACGCCAAGGTGCTGGGGTTGCATGAGCTGGACGCCAAGGTGCTGGGGTTGCATGAGCTGGACGCCAAGGTGCTGGGGTTGCATGAGCTGGACGCCAAGGTGCTGGGGCTGAAGAGCCTGAACATCCCTAAGGGGAAGGACCGGACAGAGGATGAGGTGTTTGACGAGGAAGTTCCCCTAGTTAAAGGGGGTGGGGTGGGGAAGTGAAGTTACCCTGGTGGTGGCCGTCAACGGAGAGGTGGTGGCACTAAGGAGAGGTGGTGCTGGGGCTGGAGAGACTAGGGTTTGCATGAGCTGAGTGGCAAGGTGCTGCTGGGGTTGAAGAGCCTCAATCAACACCGTACTCTCAAAAGATTGGTGTCCCTTAGGGATTGGATTGGAGAGAGATGGTTACGGTGGAGAGAATGCATCAAGTTTTCTACGTATCTTCAACCCATACAATCAGAAAGATCCGTGTGTTTTTTTAGAATTCTAAAAAAACACAGTTTTCTATGGTATCTTAAAACCATACAATCAGAAAGATCCTGAGTACACATCATCTCATCAGGCTTTTCAGCTCGTGTCAAGCACCATGCTTTCTTGTTGCTAGGAATCTTGAAGGCTAACTTTGTTGATTGTATCACGACTTTCAGAGGAGTGTGCAGTGCAGTCGCCACGGGCACAAAGAAAAAATAAATCTCAGTTTGGTTTCTGCTCTTTGATGTGCATTTTCATTTGTGTATCCATGACCTGCTTTCCCATAGGCATGAAAGTACTACAGTGCTGTATGAGCATCAGCAGCACAGGTTGTCATGTTTTGCTATTATGTTTTGTTGTTTTCTCATTGCCCTGCTGCTGCTGCCTGCTTCTGCTGGTGCTTCTTGGAGTGACTCGTCTGGTAATGACAAGTGGAGGGAAACAGGATATGATGCTCTCCCTGTTCCTCCCTGTCACTAGGTCTTAAGTGGACGATGTTCCAAGCGGAATCGAGCCTTCTTTCATCACCATGTACACAGGGATTTCAAGTGCATGAAAAACCAATTTTGCCCAATACGTGCATGTGCATGGCTAACGAGTCCGTAGCATAATGGTGCATTCGGGAGTTGCAGTAGATGTCCCAGCCAGTGCCGCACACTAGGTGGAAGGCAGAATGAAGAGGGCTTTTGATGATAAGCGTGAGGGGACCGAAACCAGGAGGAAGCAGAGGGAGAGGGAAAAGGAACACAAGCAACGAAATAACGAAAGCAAGAGCAGAAAAACAGCAATGGACTGATGGAAAGCGAGGAATGGGAAGCACGGGCAACTGAGAAAAAGCGCGGCAAAAGACGAAGAATAAAGAGAATGAAGGACCAGACGACGAAAGGGATGAAAGCAAGGAACAAAGAATAGAAAACCATGAGGAGAGAGAATGAGAGTAGAGGGATGGGCAAAGAGAAAGCTGGGGGGGGTGGGGGAGGGGTTGGGAGGGGAGAGTTGGGCAGAGTTGTGGGCAGATGGAAGGAAGTCTGCATCTCCCACATCCCCTGCGAGATGTGGTGTGCGGCACTGGCAGAGCTGGGCAGGGCAGGGTGTGGCACTGGCAGAGACGAGATGGTTTTACAGTGAGTCAGTGGCTGGCAGGGTACAGTGCTGGTGAAAATGAGATGGTTTTTGAAGCGTCTATGAAATCTTAACCCCTGAGAGAACTGGTCTGCGGAATTAGCGGAGGTAGTGGCAGTGTGCAGAGAGAGGAGAGAGAGTTGCAACGAGGAATGCAGGTGGCAAGTGGGTGGTTGCAGTGCAGGCAGTGTGGTCAAATGGCATGGAGTGCAGTGAACAGTGGCTGGGAGCGGTGGCTGCAGGCAGTCTGGTGCACTGAACGGTAGCAGCAATGGTTGGGAACGTTGCGGCACTAGCAGTATCCAGTGCGGTGAATAGTGGAGTGATGAGTGCCCATGAAAATGCGAGGATCTGATGTTACGCAGGCATGGAGAGAGCAGATGCCTCTCTCCTTGCTCTGCATGCAGTGTGGCAAAGCAAAGAAGCTTGTGGCAGTGGGAAGGGCGGCAATGTAAGGGCAGCAGTGGGAAGGGTCACGAAGAAGCCGCACTGTCCCTTCACTTGGCAGTCATCATCCGTTCCTTTGCTTGCTGACAGAGCTTCGCAATCTGTGTCTCAATCACCCTATGAAGCCTCTGAGCGTTCTTTCCTTCCCAAACACGCCTTCAGCCCACTCGACCCTTCAACCCACTCGATCCTTCAACCCACTCGACCCTTCAACCCACTCAGCCCTTCAACCCACTCGACCCTTCAACCCACTCGACCCTTCAACCCACTCGACCCTTCAACCCACTCGACCCTTCAACCCACTCGACCCTTCAACCCACTCGACCCTTCAACCCACTTGCCCCTTCAACCCACTTGCCCTTCAACCCACTTGCCCCTTCAACCCACACTGCAGGCCTGCAGACGAATTGCGCAGAAAAGTGATGACCTGCCACAGCTGCGGCAATGAAGACTGCTGCAGATACACCAAGGTAGAGGCAAGTGATTATCAGCATCAAGTCCTGCTGCCTCTGCTGCCCCTGCTACTCTGCTGCCCCTGCTCCTCCCTCAACTCCCTCTGCTCCCACTGTTACTCTGCTTCTCTGCTGCCTCTGATTCTCTCTCCTTTCAGCCTGATTCACAAGCCTCTCACAGCCACTATGACTCACCCTCCGTTTCTGCCCCTCCTTATTCCTGCCTGTTCCTGCTCCTGCCCCGTGTTGCTTCTGTCCCTGCTTGTCTCTGCTCCTCCCCTCCCTGCTCCTCCCCTCCCTGCTCCTGACCGTTCCTGCCTCGCCTCCTGCCTCGCCTCCTGCCTCGCCTCCTGCTTGCTCCTGCTCCTCCCTCCCTGCTCCTGCCCGTTCCTGCTCCTTCACCTTTGAAGCTGATCAGCTCCTTTCTCCCTCTACCTTTTACACTCACCTTCTTTCGTTCTGAAAACTCATCCGCTCACTTTTTGCTCCTTTTCCCCTCCCTTCACCCTTTTTCCTCTCAGCTTCTCCCTTCTACCCCCTTCTCTCCCTTCCCCTCCCTCCCCCTCCTTCCCAATATCACCTGCCACCTTACAACTCAACCCCCCACACTGCCATAGCACCCGTACAGCCCTCATCCCAACACCATCTCAAACACCCACGCCTCAAACCACTCGTTGCCCTCGTCATTTCTCCACAGCCGCTACCACACACCGAGCCCTTGCATCACTCCCCCATATGTTGCGCCCGTTTCCCCATACGCTGCGCCTCCCCCTCCCCCATATGCTGCTCCTCCCCCTCCCCCATATGCTGCGCCTCCCCCTCCCCCATATGCTGCGCCTCCCCCTCCCCCATATGCTGCGCCTCCCCCTCCCCCATATGCTGCGCTTCCCCCTCCCCCCTATGCTGCGCCTCCCCCTCCCCCATATGCTGCGCCTCCCCCTACCCCATATGCTGCGACTCCCCCTCCCCCATATGCTGCGCCTCCCCCTCCCCCATATGCTGCGCCTCCCCCCTCCCCCATATTCTGCGCTCACTCCCCATATATTCTAAAGATTCTCAACAGTTTCAACACTCCCCTGCGCCAGCTGCCCTCACTCCCAGAAACCAGCGCCTCATCACGCCACCGAATCGTGTGCCCTGCGCCTACAGGTAGGTAACAACACGTGCTCAGACGCCCTGCTGTCCGCAACACCTCTATTCCTCCCTTCTCTCCCCAACAACCACTGTCAAGCACCCTCTGCTGCCTTCACGTGCCTTCTCACATGCACTTGACATCGCAGCTGTCATCGCAGTACTAATACCCCACGCCTCCTCACACGCCACCAAACCTTGTGCCCTGTGCGTAAAGGTACCACCTCGTCCCCCTTCCCCTCCCTGCGACCCTCCCATTGAGCTCCAACTGCTGTGCACACATTGTCCCCCACACTGCCGCCCTTTTAAGTCGAGTCAAAAGCCTCCTCACACGCCACCAAACCTTGTGCCCTGCGCCTACAGGTACCACCTCGTCCCCCTTCCCCTCCCTGCGACCCACACTCCCATTGAGCTCCAACCTACAGGTACCAACTACTGCACACATATTGTCCCCCCCACACTGCCGCGCTTTCACCCCCCACAGCCGCCCCGCACCCCGCACCCCACACCACACCCGCTCTCACTCACACACCCACGCACCCTCCAATAACCAGACCACGTAACCCCACACACTAAGGTACACGCCCGTATCCCTGTACCCCGTAACCCCACACACTAAGGTACACGACCGTATCCCTGTACCCCGTAACCCCGTATCCCTCCTTCCTCAACCTCAAACCGCGCAGCCCCCCTTGCCTTAATCCCCAGACCCCAGTATGTGCGCAGATTTCCCCACAACTACCCGCCTCACCTCCCCCCTCCCTTTCCCCCCCCCTTCCCCCCAACTCCCCCTGTCCCCTTTAGCTGCTGCTGTCTGCAACAGCGTCGGTCCCATCCTTGGTAGCCTCCACAGCAGCCCCGGCAGGCGCGGATGCGCCGAACCTCTCCGCCCGAGCCTTCTTCTTAGCCTCGAGCTCGCTGTCAGCAGGGTTGGCGGACCTGGCAGAATAATGCGGAAGGAGGAGGGGGGGAGGGGGGGCGTGAAAGATTAAGGGGAGAGAGAGCGGGTGTGAGAGAGGTGGGGAAGAACGAGAGGGTGCGATTCATGAAGAATAGCACATCATTTTGAAGAATAGCACGTAGTCATGACTGAGAGAGGTAGCGGGTGCGCCTCATCAGTCAAGCTCGCTATCAGCAGGGCTGGCGAGCCCGGCAGATGAATGAGGGAGGAGGAGAGGGAGAGGGAGGGGGGAGAGAACGGGCGTGAGGGAGGGAAGAGACGAGAAAGTGAACTCTTGAGGCGCCTCATCAGTCAGGCTCGCTGTCGAAAGGGTTGGCGGACCCGGCAGATGACAGAAGAGAGAGAGCAGCAGCGCGAGCGACGGGCAGAAAGAGTGAGAGAGAGAAGGGGAAAGAGAGGGTGGCGCAAGGGCAGCAGGCACGGATGAGACAGCGACGGCGGGGGGAAGGGGAACGAGAGTGTGCTAGCGCGAACGCAAACCAACACTAGCCTCTCGTACCTTTAAAACCTCCCCCATGATAGTGATGTTTTTGTTTAATCCAATTTTCCAGAAAAAACTCCCCTGGTCGCTTTTTCACAAAGTGACATACATACTGCCATACATCATCCCTGCCCACTCACGTGTCTCTCTTCGTATCCCCTCCTGACCGCTGCTCCTGCGGAACCATCTCCCGCAGTGACGAATTTCTTGGCTCGAGCCTCCCGCTTGGCCGCCTCCTCCGCACTCAGCGCGGACAGCTGGGTGGCTTTCTTAAGAGAACCCATGCCATGCACCATTCCTGCCCACTCACGTTTCTCGCTTCTTATCCCCTCCAGTCGACGCTGCTCCATCTCCCGCAGTGCCAAACTTCTTGGCTCGAGCCTCCCGCTTGGCCGCCTCCTCCGCACTCAGCGCGGACAGCGGGCTTGTGCCGAACCGTTCAGCGCGTGCCTTCTTCCGCGCTTCCTCCGCAGCCTTGTCCGCCAGACTGCTGCTCGCGCCATTCCCGGCGTCCTTATCCGCTTTGATTCCGAACTTGGCGGCTCGCGCCGCCTTCTTGGCGTCCTCCGCCGCAGGCGCGGCGTCCGCAGTGCCGAACCTGGAAGCACAGGTTAGGGAAGAACGATGACAAAAGAAGATGAAATGTCACAGGCGGAAAAAAGACGGCTGCGCCTTCTTGGCGTCCTCCGCCGCAGGCGTGGCGTCCGCAGTGCCGAACCTTTGAGAGGGTACGTAGATAGAATACAACGGATACGTCATGGGGCAAATGATGACGTCACAGGCAGGACGACGTCGTGAAAGGCGGAATGACAACCTTAGCGGCAGAACGATGACAGGAGCAAGAAACACGCCGCTAAGGCTGTTCGATGAAAACCTTCCGATGGCAGATGACAAGCAGAAGGATGAGATCAAGGGTAGCCAACCGTTTCGCGAGTGGCGCGCTCACCGTTCGGCGCGCAGGCGGCGCTTCTCAGCCTCGCTGATGGTCAGCTCCGTCCCGAACCGCTCTGCACGCGCCTTCTTCTTCTCTAGATTCGCCGCCACCTCGCTCGCCGTCCCTTCCTTGCCCTCCTCTCCCGCCTTCTTCGCTCCCTCGCCACCACTTACACCATCCTCTCCTCCTGCTCCTTCCTCTCCGCCTGCAGAAGCTTCGGCTGGTGATTCTTCTGCTGCAACTGCGTCTCCCGCTGCTCCCGCTGCTTTCGCGGCACCGGAAACATCTGGGTTTCCATCATTTGTCGTCTCTGGAACGTCAGACTTTCCGTTTTCAACGGGCGCATCGGCGGTAGCAACCAGCTCAGGGTTGGTCTTATCATATTTAGATGCCATGGCGACGGGATTGATCAACGGGAGTGAACAGCGAGATTGAACAGCGGGACTGAACAGCGGAATTGGTCAGCTGGTAGGAGAGAATGTGAAGAATGAAAGATGCTTCGCGTGAGACGATGGGATTCAGCCGGTACAATTGAGCTCGTGGAGGAGTAGAGGATCCGTCAAATCAGACAGCGGAACTTCACTGGAAGGTTGCTAGTCGGTGACGGATTCCGTCAGGTCAAATGTTGAGATTCAGATATCGGACGAGCTGATATTCGACGGATCGACGTTACTGAGAGTTGACTGACAAATAGATCGGACCAAGAAACAGGACTACGTAATCCAGTCACGAACGATCTACTAGGAACAATCACAGAACGCGATCCGAAGCACCACGAGGATGAACGAAATCAGCGAGGGGATCACTTATTTCCAGCAGCCTGGAAGACCAAGAGATCTGTCCGTCTTAGGGGTCTCGAGAAGCTTCGGCAGACTTATCGAGTGCCTCGAATGGCAGCGAAAATAGGAGGGAGATCAGATGAGCAGATGCAGGATGAGGGGAAATGAAGCAAGAGAATCTGGAGGCAGAAATACGTAGAGCAGAAAATGCAGATCTTCAGGTATACGAGTAAATATCGAGGGTAGAAGGGGAGATTCAAGCCCGAGGGAGAATGTTCCACTAACGACCCACGGACATCTCAGCCTCGATATAGTGAAGCTCCCGTAGCTCGGTCCCGTGATTCGTCAGATCCCCAATTTAGGTCGTTTCTTCGTTTTGGCGAAGGGCATTACTTCGCCAACGTATCTAGCCTAGCAGGCGAACTAAATTCACGAAATAGACTTGGTAGCACCATGTGCAACCCCCGAAACCCTTTCTGAAGTCCTCAACCCCGCACACCCAATTTCGAGCTTTCTTTTTTGCCCTCTTTTTCCTCCCACTCCCACTTTTTGCCCTATCACTGTGGGATCGCATACACTATCACTGCGGTAGGTCAAATCCACTTCTCCCCGCGGATACACCGTCTCCTCGTAGCGAGATCTAACTTCCGGTTTAACATTGTAACCCGTCGCCATGTTGTCGGCAATATCGTGGGTCCCGCGCGGCGCGGCGAAACCGTTCCCCAAAACAGCGGAGCTCGACGAGGAGGAGGTCGCAGAGGTGCGCCGCCGCGCAGAGGGCGCCGCCGCCGCCGCTGCCGCCGTAGCTGGAGGCGACGCCGACGCTGAGGACGGCGAAGAGAGGGACGCGGAGAATGACGAAGACGCGACAATGGAAGAGGAGGAGGAAGAGGAAGAGGGGAGTGAGGAGGAAGGGGAGGCGGACGGAGAGGAGGCAGCGGCAGCGGCAGCGGCGTTGGCGGCGGAGATCCGGAAGGCGAAGAAGGGCCAATCGGCGGATGACAGGCTGGCAGACGAGCTTGCTGAGCTGGACATGGACCACTACGACGACGAGGCCGACGCGGCGCCGAACCTGTTCGGCACGGGGAAGGGCATCGGCGCGGCGTATTACCGAAGCAACGACGAGGATCCGTACCTGACCAAAGCGGAAGGTGCGGAGGACGAGGACGACGAGGACGAGATCGAAGATCTCACCATACGCGATACAGACTTGCTCATTCTCGCGGCGCGGAACGAGGATGACGTCAGCTTCATCGAGGTGTGGGTGTGCGAGGAGCAGCAGAGGCAGGAGGGGGAGGATGGCGATGACGTGGCACAAAACGACAAGGAGCTCAACATGTATGTGCACCACGATATCATGCTCCCCGCCTTCCCGCTCGCTCTCGCCTGGATGGATTTCAACCCCTCCGCCGCTGCCGCGGCCGCCGCAGCCGGGTCTTCCGCCGCCGCGATTGCCGCCGCGGGCGCCGGTGCGAGCGTCCTGGCGCCAGGAAACTTCGTGGCAGTTGCGACGATGGACCCTGCTATCGAAATCTGGGATTTAGACGTTCTAGACGAGGTCGAACCCGCCGCGTCCTTAGGAGGCTTCGTGACTACAGCGGGCGGCGCGGGCGCTGATGGGGAAGAGGACGACGAAGAGGAGTGGGAGGAGGTGGAGGAGGAGGAGGAGATGGAAGTGGGCGGCGGGGGTTCAGGGCCTAAGAAGGGTTCAAAGGGCAAGAAAGGGAAAAAGGACAAGGGCGGAAAGAAAGGAAAGAAGGGCAGAGAGAGGGAGCCGGAAAAGCGCGGAAGCAGCAACAAGGGGAAAAGTCAGGGAAAAACATCAGCAGCAGCCGCAGTTCTGAAGGAGGGGAGTCATAAGGGGGCGGTGATGGCTCTGTCGTGGAACCGCGAGTACCGGAGTGTGCTGGCGAGTGGAGGCGAGGACAGGCGGGTGAAGGTGTGGGACATGGCGGCTCAGCGCTGCGATCGAACGCTCAAGCCGCACACCGGCAAGGTGCAGGCGGTGGCGTGGGCGCCTCTCCACGCCACGAGTCTACTGTCTGGGTCGTTTGACCGCTCTCTCGCCCTGGTGAGTAAAGGTGTGGGACTGAAGCCGCACACCGGCAAGGTGCAGGCGGTGGCGTAGGCGCCGCTGCACGCCACGAGTCTGCTGCCTGGGTCGTTCGACCGCTCTCTCGCCCTGGTACGTGTGCTATTGGCGTGGCACTGGCTGTTGAAAGGGACGTTTTGGCACTGGTAAGGGCGTTATCAGCTCTGGCTGGTGGGAACGGCGGGTGAAGGTGTGGGCCATGGCGGCGCAGCGCTGCGACCGAACCGAACGCTCAAGCCGCACACGGGAAAGGTGCAGGCGGTGGCGTGGGCGCCCCTGCACGCAACGAGCCTCTTGTCTGGGTCCTTCGACCGCTCCCTTGCTCTGGTGCGTGTCCTGTAGGACAGGTGAGTAAGGTGTGGGTGAGAGATGGCAGCTCAAGCCACACACGGGAAAGGTGCAGGCCGTGGCCTGGGCGCTCCTGCATGCTGCCGTGGCCTGGGCGCTCCTGCATGCTGCCGTGGCCTGGGCGCTCCTGCATGCTGCCGTGGCCTGGGCGCTCCTGCATGCTGCCGTGGCCTGGGCGCTCCTGCATGCTGCCGTGGCCTGGGCGCTCCTGCATGCTGCCGTGGCCTGGGCGCTCCTGCATGCTGCCGTGGCCTGGGCGCTCCTGCATGCTGCCGTGGCCTGGGCGCTCCTGCATGCTGCCGTGGCCTGGGCGCTCCTGCATGCTGCCGTGGCCTGGGCGCTCCTGCATGCTGCCGTGGCCTGGGCGCTCCTGCATGCTGCCGTGGCCTGGGCGCTCCTGCATGCTGCCGTGGCCTGGGCGCTCCTGCATGCTGCCAGCCTTCTGTCTGGGTCGGGTCCTTTGACCGCTCCCTTGCTCTGGTGGGTGGGCGCTCTCATCTGCAGACGAGCCAAGGTGAGAGAAGGTGAGATGAAGCGTCTGCAGGCAACGTGCAGGCCGTAGCTTGGGCACAGCTGCACGCCACGAGTCTCCTGTCGGAGTACTTGTTGTGTGTTTTGGCGCTGGTTTGGTTGGTGCTGGTTTGGTTGGCGCTGGTTTGGTTGGTGCCGTAATCGGCTTTGGTCGCTGCCGTATCCACGTTGGTGGGTGCCTCATTGACTTCGGTTGGGGGCGCTTTTGGCTCGATATGTGAGTTGACTGAAAATTGGCAGGGGGGCAGATTGTAGGCAGGTGGGAGCGTGGAGCTCATAATTCGCTGCGTTGTGTCCCGGCAAAATTACTTCTCCCCCTTCCCGCCCCCCCTCCCCGCCTTCCCGCCTCCCGCCTCCCGCCTCCCTCCCCCTCGCTCTCAGGCGGACGTCCGTTCGCCCGATGCTACAGCGCTGCGGTGTGGCGTCTCTGCAAGCTTATCACCCCCTCCCTCTCCCCCTCTCCCCCTCTCCCCCGCTCCTCCTCTCTCCCAGACCGATGTCCGGTCGCCCGATGCTACAGTGCTGCGGTGGGGCATCTCTGCTGACGTGGAGGCTCTTGCGTGGGACCCTCACGACAGCACGCGCTTCGTCGTCTCTTCTGAGGACGGGCTCATCTGCTGCCACGACACGCGGGCAGGCAGCAGCAACGCCACCGCCGCCCCAATCGCCAGCTCGGCGTCGGCACTTTCGTCTTTTCCGAACGCTCTCTTCACAATCCATGCGCACACCAAGGCGGCATGCACTGTGTCTTGGAACCCTAGAATCCCGAACCTACTTGCGTCAGGTTCGACTGACAAGACTGTGAAGCTGTGGGACCTATCAGGGAACCAGGCTCGGTGCTTGGAGTCGTCAAACCCGAAGTTGGGAGCGGTTTTCTCAGTGGCGTTTTGTGCGGATGCGCCTGGTTTCCTGGCAATGGGTGGATCGAAAGGGAAGCTCAAGGTGTGGGATACCCGAAAGGTTGCTGATGTGGGACAGAGGTTTAGAGTGGTGTGAGCACAGGATTTGTGTTTGACTAGAATCTCCACTGGTGTACCGTATGTTAGCGGTGTGCCTAAATGCACGTGTATGTTGTGATTAGAATCATCACTAGCTATATGCTAGCAGTGTGCCGATTCTCAAGCTGGTATGTGGATGTCTTTTCAGCATGGCTTCTCTAAGTCATGTTAAGCAAATATCCTTTCCTAATTTGGCTTTATGTGGACCTACGTGGCTGCTCACTCTTCTTTGTGGAAGGCTGGGGAGAGAGCATTTGCTCATGTAAACGTTTGAAAATATTATACATATTTGTACGCTTTCATATTTTCCTTGCATGTCATTTTGAGGACTCCCCCTCTCCAGTCATCACCGAACAAGGATTCTTAGTGGGTCAAGAAACGCGGCGGCGCGCGATCGGAGGGCTCTTGCTTGTTTGAGCGGCTTCGCTGCCCCGGGCAGAACTGCTAGAGTCGCCGCAGATTTGTCAGGAAGAGGAAATGGGTGTTTCCATACCACCCAAGTTAAATAATCCAGATTGCCAGCCAAGTTTATGTATTGGTCAGCTGAAAAAAATCATTCCTTACGTTTTTTTGCTGACTGGAGAGAGTGGACCTGGACAGGTGGTGTCTGCTCGTTCCACCCTGGATCTTGTGGCCCTATTTTTCCGAAGGGTACTCGGGCAGAGTAAATCAATGACGACGGTGGATTTGTGCGCCGCCTTGTTCACCGAAGCTAGTCGCGCAGACTCGGCGCTTACGAAGCATATTGAACCGTCAATTGCCTCGACTCGAATCACCTAAATCGTCGATGTGCCCCTCTCTCGCCCCTTTTTGCTGATATTGACCGCGTCTCGACACGTCGGGCAGGTTAGTGCCTGAAAGTTCTTCCCCAATGTCAGGGCCAACAACGACAACCCAATGGCCTTCCCCTTCCCTCACTTCCCCTGAGCTGCGCCCCAACGATCCCCCCTACGCCGCTCCCCCCAACACCATCCTGCTGCAATTGACCGGAGCGTGCGACGCGAAATTCTGGGACGGGTGAAACTCGTCGCTCATAACAACATTGAATTGTCGCACAGGGGCGATTTCTACACGAATATCCAGGACTGGAACATCGCAGAAGGCCACCTCGTTTGTCGCCTATGCATTCCCCATTTCCCCCTCATAAACTCCCCGCATATGTCCTGTCCACACCACAATGGGGATGGGCGGGTGGGCGGGCTCTCGCGCGCTCACACTCTGCCCGTTCCGCCATTGACAGTCGGCCCTTTCCGCCAAGGAATCTCACCACTGTGCACCTTGAAACTTTATCCAGGGAACAACTTCTCACCTCGGAAGTACCAAGTCCGACCCATTGCTTCTGTCCTGGACATCTCCAAAGATCACAGACAGGTGGCGAGCTGGATGTGCTAGTGCTGTAAGCTCACTGCTTTTTCGAGCTTGGTTGCAGCTTTGATGGTTTTAATGGCGGTCTAGAGATGATACGCTGTACGGTTGTCTCGTAAACTTCGATTTTCATCAGGTCGGTTCTTCTCGTGTCTCGACCACTCATCTCTACGTTCGGTTCTGGGTTGCGCGTTCAACGTTGAACCTCGAAGCTGGTCGTTCCTGGGAAGCTTTAGTTTCTGCATGGCGTTTATCAAAGATGCATCTTCGATCGACTCAATCTCCTTCCCAGAACTCACCTGGTCCGCTGTATCTGGTTCACGGAGCCGCTGATTCAGAATCACTCGGTTGACATTTCGTCGCAGAACGTACTTATACGACATTTGCGAGTTTATGTACCCTTGGCACTAAGTGTACGTTTGCCGATCACTCGGATTTAGAAGGACCATACAATCATGGCGTGCGCGCAATCCTTCCGCGTCGACCGCGTCAGGTCGATTCTCCTGATCCTTTCGGTATCCCTGACGGTGCTCAGCAGACCAGCCGGCGGGAATTTCAGACCGTCGAATTTAGTCAACGTGTTTCCGGTGACGTCTAAACGATTGATAGTGGCTAGTAATAGCGGTGGTGGTGGTGGAGGTGGTGGTGGTGGTGGTAGCAGTATCAGCTCACAGACTCAGGCCTCTCGAAGCTCCTCCTCCGGTATCGTCGCGTCGCTTCGAAGTTTCACATCAAGTAGCGATCCCACGAGATATTCCAACACGGTCCATCGACCACAGTCGTCGGTAGTAGCTGGACAGTCAACGGTCATGGCAGCCGCTGAAGCGACGAAGCGATCGCGGGAACTGCGGATCGCGCGAAGCTTCGCTGTAGGGCAATGGAATCGCCGCAAAGCGCTGCCGATTCGGTACCACGGCGGGTGGGTGATGGCGAAGGTCCCGATCAAGGTCTTTATTATCTACTACGGCTCGTGGTCCTCGTCAGAAGTAAACATCGTGGAGAATTTCATCTACTCGCTCTCCAACAACAACACCACGCCTAAGGTGTGTGACTTAAAAAATTAGTACCGTATAAGAGCTTTTTTATCAACTCGCCCTCCAACAACAACCCAAGGTATAGCTAGCTGTTTCTTGAGACGATTCAGGGACTCGAGGGTTCTCGGCTAAGTTCGTCCGTTCAAACTTCTTTGTGTTTGTGTACGTATATTCGTTCAGACTTCTTCGTGTTTGTGTACGTATATTCGTTCAAACTTCTTTGTGTTTGTGTACGTATATTCGTTCAGATTTCTCGAGCAACCACACCATGATCGTGTTTTGCCTGCTCTGTTCCGCTCCCCGCGCGCATCAACCCACGCTTCGCTCCCCGCGCTCATCAACCTACGCTTCGCTCCCCGCGCTTGAGTCGACTAAAGAATCCGCTCATCGGAGCTCTGCCTGTTTGTGCGTCCGTGTCTGTTTGCCTGAATGTGCGAGCAGGACGCCAAGGCGGTATCGGCGTGGCAGTGGTGGCAGATCAATCGACCCGTTATTGACAGTGTTGAGCATCTTTCTCAGCCATGTTTTGCGTGCGTTCGTCTGTGCGTGCGTGCGTGCGTGCGTGCGTGCGTCTGTGCGTGTGCGTGTGCGTGTGCGCATCTCCGCGTGTGCTAGCAGGACGCCAAGGCGGTATCGGCGTGGCAGTGGTGGCAGATCGCCACGCTATACACCATGAAGCGGGGCAGCCAGACGGTGTCCGTCTCGTCGCAGGTAGTACGTCGCACTCGAGAAGTTGGAAGGGCTGAGAGTCAGTCGAGACACACTATTTCGCTCTGCTCAAGCTCTTTTTGGTTTCCGCCTTCGCGCCTGCTCTCCTCCTATCCCGCTCTCCGCCTATCCCGCTCTCCGCCTATCTCGCTCTCCTCTCCTTAGTTCACGTGGATCAGAGACCCACTTTCCTCTTCTTCCTTTCTGACCCTATCCTCGATACAAGCAGGTCCAGTTCCGCAAGCGAGTATTCGACAAGTATTCACTTGGAAAAGTGATCAAAGAGGACTTGGGGGGCGTCTGGCAAAGTGAGATCTACTTTTCGCACCTTAGATTCGCCAACCTTCGCCAAGCTTCGCCCATCTTTGGCCATAGTTCGCGGCCATAGTTCGCGCATCTCCTCCCATCTCCCTCTTTCCTTCTATTTCCCTGTTGTGCCCATTCCGCTACCTCTCCTCTCACAAAATCCTCCTCGTTATCATCAAATCTCTTCCCCTCCTCACCACCCTCACTATCCCCTCCCTCTCCCCCTATCTGATACTTTCTCCTCCCCATCCGCCCCACACCTCCTGCCTCTTACCCCCCTCTCCCCTCGTCCTTCCTCCCCGGCTTTCCCCCTCCCCCAGTAATCGACCAACAGCTGCGCACCCGGGCCCTTCCCATCGACAGCTCAGCGCAGTACCTCGTGCTGACGAGTGCTGACGTGGCGCTGGGCGACCGGGAAAAAGGGTTCTGTGGGCGGTCAGGGTACTGCGGATTCCACTCGTTCGCCACGGACGGCGTGAGCTACATCAAATACGGCTTCGTGGGCAACGGCGAGAAGTGCGGCACGCGGTGCATGCGCACAGGGGGCAGCAAGTGAGTGTGTGCTGCGTAGTTGTGTTGTGTGCGTTGTGTATCGAGTCAAAAGGGGTACTGCGGGTTCCACTCGTTCGCCACGGATGGCGTGAGCTGCATCAAATACGCATTTGTGGGGAACGGGGAGAAGTGCGGCACGCGGTGCATGCGCACTGGGGGCAGCAGGAGAGTGTGTGCTGTATGCTGCTGTGTGCTTGCATCCATTCAGGGGGTACTGCACATACAGGTTGCTGGCATGACACTTAGGGGAGCAGAGAGCAGCGGGAATCGAGCATGGAGGATTTCGGGTCTGACTCCCCCTGCTCAGCCTTTTCCACCTTATTCCTTGCCATCATACCCCTTGCCATCTTACCTTGCCATCTTACCTTGCCATCTTACCTTGCCATCTTACCCCTTGCCATCTTACCTTGCCATCTATCCTTGCCATCTTACCTTGCCATCTTACCTTGCCATCTTACCTTGCCATCTTACCCCTTGCCATCTTACCTTGCCATCTATCCTTGCCATCTTACCCCTTGCCGCCTTACCCCTTGCCGCCTTACCCCTTGCCGCCTTACCCCTTCCCCACCTCCCTCCAGAAGAACGCCCAATGGCAAGCGGGGAGTGGATGGGATGATAAGCATCGTGGCTCACGAGGTGGTGGAGACGGCCAACAACCCGCGCATCGAGGGCGGGTGGTACGACGCACTGGGAGCGGAGAGCAGCGACAAGTGCATGACTGATTTCGGGCCCTCGGTGGCTGTAGGGGGGAATGGGTACAGCTACAACATGGTGGGGCAGGGCGGCATGCAGTGGCTGGTAGAAAGTAACTGGCGACCCACTGAGCCGCAGGGGTGTGCCATGACGCGGTACTGAGGGGCTTGATGCGGTTCTGGCAGGTTGTGGTGCAGTACTGAGGGGTTCAGTGCATTGGTGGGGCAGGGTGGCATGCAGTGGCTGGTGGAGAGTAACTAACTGGCGATCCACTGAGCTGCAGGGGTGTGCCATGACGCGGTACTGAGGGTTTTGATGCGGTGCATGCAGGTGTGTCATGGTGCAGTACCGAGGGGTACAATGCGGTGGGGGTTGGTACAGCTGCAACAGGGTGGGGCAGGGTGGCATGCAGTGGCTGGTAGAGAGTAACTGACGACCTGTGGAGCCGCAAATGTGTGTCATGGCGCGGTACTAGAGGGGTTGGAAGCGGTGCTGACTTGTTCCCCATGGCGCGGTACTGTGGGGTTGGACGCGGTGCTGGGCGGTTGCGTTGTGGTGGGGTACTGAGGTATTGGATGTGGAGCTGATGGGTGCATAATGACACGGTCACATGGCACACTACAGAAATTACCCGTATGGACGTCTGGTGGTTGGAAACGCAGCATCTTGGGCTCGGGCTTGCTGAGATCAGGATTCAAGGTTTCGGTGGTGATGTGGGGCTGTGCTGCTGATTTCTAAGTTATACTGTAACTGCTGCTGATGGTGGTGGCCAAAGAAGAGAAGGGAATCACCTGAAGCGCTGTTCTGTGTGGAGGCTGAGACACGGCTTCGCTACTGTGTGCAAGCAGTGAAGGCAGAAGCCAAGGTTCGCCCTTGCTGGCATGGCTGCTAACACACTAACAGGTTTTGGTGCATCTATCTAACCCACTACATGTGATGCCAAGTAAAGTTGCTGTCCTGTTGGTATTATTTCGGAGAAACTCTGCTGGCTAGGCTGTGCTGAAAATTCAGTAGGTTCTGAAGGACTATAGTACAGTTAAAAGCCTTCATTTCTGTGGTGAGATCATAATGAAAGAGATCTTAAAAATAGGACAATAACACACAGCTCAACGTCCCAACCCCAACCAACACTTTCCCCTCTTGCACCATACATTTCCCCCTCCGAAGCTACCTAAGAGCGGGAGATGTATAATGCGAGAGATCGCCATAACAAAGAGCGAAGCACCCTAAAGTGAAGCCCACTAGTTGCCGACAAGCACCGTTTGGCCGACCAGACTCACACCTCCACCACAGTTGTCAGAGGCATGTCCGAACCAGCAATGCTCGTTTGGCTCCCGAACCTCTTTCTGCGAACCTGCGCGCGGGGCTCCAAATTGCAGCCACTCACCGACCCTCCCCGAGCCTACGGCACACGCGTCCAAGCTTTCGCGATCCGTCAGAGAAACACCGGCCTCGTTTTCCGAGTCTGGGTATCGCGAATCTATGGTCACAGCATGCGAGCTGGTTACCAGGCGGGAGCTTGTAACTGAAGCAGGAGCGCTGCGAGGCCGAGCTGGAAAGATGGGAGTGGTAACGGAAGCGGCGGCGGAAGAAACGGGCTTCAGCGGGGAAAAGAAAGACAAGATGCTAGAGGCGGCGGAAAGCGCGGAGGCGGTTATAGACGTCCTTTGCTGATGAGTCCGAACGGGCTCTTTGCTGGTAATACTGCCGGAGAAGGTGGTACTGGGGGAGGTAGTATCTGAGTGGGAAGAGGTTGCACTCGTAGCAGGGGAGCTGCTGGTACTGCTGGCGCCGACGCCAATGCTGCTTCTATCGCTGCTGCTACTATCGAAGCCACAGCTGCTACTGCTGTCGCCTCTGGCGATCTCGCTGCCGCTGTCGCCTGCGTCGCCGTTGTTACTGTTACAGCTGCTGTTACTCGTACTGCTGCTCCACCGACCGCTACCAGTGAGCGTACTCGCGAGGAGCTGAGGCAAGAAGAAACCGTACGACCGCGAGAACGACGTTTCATCTCCCTCTGAAGAAGCTTCCTCCGCAAGCAGCTGCTCATGCAGCACCTTACAGTACGAGGAGAACTCCGTTTCAGTTACATTCAGCTGAAAGTTGAGCCGGAACAGAAACTCCAGCTCTAAGCGGTTCATCTCCTCTATCGAGATCCCCCCGACTTTCGCATAATACGCGTTATTGTAGTACGCGTCGTCCATAAACTTGACCGCTACAAGAATACTCGTTATAAGCAGCCGATGGACGTTGAGCGTCGTTATAAGCATGGCGTCCTTCCGTTGCATGATCCGATCGATGTAAATGTAGGCCATCACGTAGCACGACGGACTGCACCGGGCGTATTTAAAGATTCGGTCGAAATACTTTTCGATGCTGATTCCAGGAGAGCGGAGTCCGTCGAAAACGGTCAGGTGCGACGCGTGGTCGTCGGCGCAGCTCGCGCCGCAGTTTCCGGCGCTTTCAGTGGCGAGATTCGAGGTGGAAATGGATTCGTTGCTGGCGACGATGCGGTTGAGGATCGTGGCGAACACGTGGAGGACACGTGGCTTGTCGGTGAAAGAGAGCGAGTCGATGTCAAGTGCGGCGAAAGCGGGAGTGCTGCTCGCGTCTTTTGTGAACATCACCCTTGGAGCTGTTTCTGCGCGAGCCGTGACCATGGCGGTGGTTTGTGTGCGACGCTCGAAGCCCGAAACTCCATCGGCGCCTGAGTTTCCGATGCAATCTAAATCTCCTCTGGTGGCGCCCATGTCGTGCGGAGAATAAATGGCCTGGATCCGAAGGAAATTGCAACGGCGACTTGCTTCAACGAAAGTCGGGAAGAAGAAAGTGGAGGAACTGACTGATTTTGGATGGTTTGAACTGAGGAGCTTGCGAGTTGAACGGTAACGAAGTGGAAATATATGCTTTTCAGCGACACGGGTGCTTTTCTTTCTTGCGCTTGCCAGCGGAAGGAGCGGCAAGAGAAGCGCAGGTGAGGCAAAACAGAGGGAATTTCGGGAGGTGGGGGAGGGAAGGGGGGGGGGGGATCGGTGGGGGCAGGTGACAGGACAAGACGGAGCTCGATACCGTAGGGTGCGGGGCTGGGCGGGGTGGGGGGAAGGGGTGACGAGGGGATCAGACGAGGCAAGGAAACGCGTCTGGTCGTGCTGGTGAATGCTGACCTGTGCAAACCTGAACACGGAAGGACGAAGTTGCTGCTCATTCCGGAAGATCTCAGCCATTGATTACAACCGAATCGACCTAGATGAAACCGGAAATGGCCAGATGAAACAAGGCTAGCTAGGCTCCCCTCCTTGGCAAATGACACGCGGGGGGGGCTAGCTAGACAGATCTCGGAAAGTAGCCGCCAAGTAGACACCGCCGACACGGGATAGGTTGGGGTGGGTGCGGGAGTCAGACTGGCGAAAGTTCGGATGCCCCAATGAGATGCGACATTCACAGGGTTACCGCGCTTTCCTCGTTCAAAAGGCGGGATTCGGTAATGACGTGGAGCGACTCGAATGTGGTCACCCTTGGGTTTCGGATTGGCGGCTGGTCGTGTGACGTAGGTGAACAGTTGGTGAAGGGGGTGAAAAACACGATCCATCGGGCAGGGCAATACTGGGCAATCATGTTGCTTGCTGAGGTGTTTTCGTTTGTCAAGCGGGAAATACCTTTATTGGCTCTACCAGCATGTGCTGGCGGAAGTGTTGTTCCCTGTTTAGCGCGAAGAGCTCCTATTTGTGGTGACTACCTTTGAATCTCCGATTCCCGTATGGATCGTGGTCGTGCAAGAAAGCAGACCAGTTAGCTTACGAAAAAGAGAAGGCAGGTCCCTTTTCGCACACTAAGGACGTGGGCCCAATCGACTTTGATCGGCGCGATCAGAGACGATCTATAACTTCGAGGAAGGCGGGAAGCCAAATTCAGGCAATCGGGGGCAATCAACTGATCGCGATCAGCTGATCGCGCCAACTCGATCAACCGCCTCGAACAGCCCAATCAGACCTGATCAGACACAATCAGCCCAGATCACTTGATTGCATGTGATCGGGGCCCTGGGCGATGCAAGCGAAATGTAACACGCCTCGCCATGAGGTCTCTAAAATCCTAGCTCATACATTCAGACCAGCGAGAACTGTTCTGGAGCGGACCCTGAGCGCAGTGCGATATTTGCGACATTACCACGATACTTGGATTCGCCCATCTCGCCATAGTCGGGGTGCAACTACCAGGTAATGGGCCACCAGTTGTCATGCAAGACCGCAGAATATTCGAGGAAAATCGATTCTGATCGGGCGGCGCGAGAAAAACGATCACAAGCAATCGATCCAATCCAACCCGATCAGATCCGAGCCGATCAAAGTCGATTCGGCCCACTTCGTAAGCCACTTGTAAGGAAAATTCCTTTTTCCTTGCTTCGTGTCCCTCCTCAGCGCGTACACCACTGTTCCCGCCAACAGCACCCAACAGTAAACCGTTACCACTCGCGACACTCGCCTCAACTACTTTTCCCGCCACTGTTCACGACGCGACCCAACCTCACGGTTCGGTTGGTAACCCGCGCTCCAGACCTCCGCCTTGACATTTCCCAACCTCGGGGCTAGGCCCGTCGCGCACCCCATTTTCACGCATTACCGTTACTACTGAAGTTTCGCTATATGTTCTTCGCTCATGCCTTCGCTCATTGTTTTGTTTGTTTCAATAGTGCAATTCTCGCTCGCTCGCTCAATTGCACTCGTAACACCTATGTACAGAGTGTTTTTTTCACGTCTCGCGCACGAACATGGTTCTTAAAGACAATTCCGCGGTACAAACAGCTTAGATAACAAGTTTTCCTAAGGCTCACACGATAGGTTCACATGTACAGTCCATGCCATTTAGGAACTCACAACAGCAAACCAGTTACAAATCAGTTACACACCATGCTCCATGACTAACCACTTCACATTTGTTTACCTTGAAACAACCCGCTCTATAGCTTGATCTGCCTTCTTGATCTGAGCCATGTAGTCATCAACCTGCATAACAAGTGCATACCCTTTTAGTTGACGCAAACAAAGACAGGAAAACAAGATGCTCCCATCTGTCCCCCCATCTCCCTCGCTCTCTCTCCCCCTCACCCCACCTCCTCTCTCCCCTGCCCCCCCATCTTTCCCCCCTGTTCGCTCTCCCGCCCT